AATATGTGGGAAAATCCCGGATCAGTCACCCCTATTTTCATGAATGTTATAGGGGACATTATTTGAATATTTAACTCTTGAAATTTCTGTTCAATAATATAATTAGGTATAACTGGGCAAACATTAGATAAAACAATTCTTTTATTTCTAGTTATTAATGGTTTTATTTCCAAGGTATGTTCTTTGATCTTAATTTTCTTATTTTCTTCTAGTAAATTATCTGCAGATTTTTTAGTGTCTAGATAAATACAAATACGTGCATTCGAAATACGTGATATAAATCGGATCGCCGTCGCAGGTAAAACAGATGTTAAGGCAATGAGGTACTCCCTGAGTGTTATTCCGTCGATCGAGTCCAGTACGATGGCTTGGTCTTTCTTGGGAAAACAAGTCGATGACGTTACATTTGCATAACTTGAAGCAGTCGGTTTTATTTGGGATTTTAGATTCGATTGAGACAGTGGGGTAGATTGAGACGTTGAGGTTGAATACATTTTTTAGGGTCTCCTGTTACCAGGAGTTGCCCTAATTACGTTATATTATTACGTCAATATTTATTTTACGCGTATAAAATAGGCACGCGGCACGACACCCAGCACAAGCAGAGTAACACGCGCGTCCGCTGTGGCTACCCGTGCGGGACTGTAGTAATTTTTGTTTATTTCTTTATTTAGTTTATTATATAAGATGGCCGAACGCGAGTTTAATTGCTTACTAGCAAATGCAGTTTTAGTGACAGTCGACTTGACGATTATGTCTTTTCGCCTTTTTTCCAAGAGATGAGGGTTAGTGATTTTTGATTTTTGAATCCAATAGTTTAGCTACTCGAATAAAAATTGGAACCTTAAAATTTAATATTTCGCAAACTGATCTCTGAATCTAAAAATAAAGTTACCAATTAATAAGTCATGTTAAAGGACCCATTTAATATGACTTAGGAATTATCGTTTACCCCACACGATGGGGTAGACGATGAAAATAATCATCCCCACGTTACTACGTCGGGGGGCTACCCTAAAAATATATATATGTCGTAGAGCGACTATTCGCTCTGTCATTAGCGTTCAAGGGCTTAGTGGGCGTCATTGGGGCTTGATACAGGCACAAAACCAAACAATCACTCAATCACTGTTCGTATAATTTTAATTACGTTCTTTTAACAAAAACAAAATAAAAATGTTTCACACACACACTTTACACTAAGGACACTTAAATAACGTAACAACCGAGCAGCGGGTTCAAGGTACCAATCTGACTTCACTGAACTACCGTATCACCTTTCTAGTAATGAACCGCTACGATCAGTTCCTCGCCTTTAAATACGCGCAAAAACTACCTCCCACTTGTGAAAATCAAGATGGCGCCTCGACCCCACTCGAGGCAAGTGCTCTGCTTTGATTGGACGCGACATAAAATGATTTATTAGCGACTTTTATTCAATTGCAAAGTTACTGAACAATACAAAAATTGTAATTAATTGAAATCAAATTAAATTAAGATTTTATAAAATTATTTAAAGTGTAACAATGTTCAACAATCAACTCTATTCATCACATCCTCCGACATATATAAAAAAACTACCACTTTGTCGACGTGATTGATACATATACTTTCACAAAATTTCAGCTCTTTAGTGCTAACAATTCTTAAGCAAAACCTCGGACGGACAGACAGACGGACATGAAATAACCCTAAAAGTTCCTCCTTTTAAATTTAAGTCTGTAACTAATTGTTCTGTAATTAATAAACTTTGGATAAAAAGAAAACTGAAGACGTTTGGATTTATTTAGTGAAGACGATAGAACCGATTATTGGAGTGATTAGTCCAGTCGGAATAAACATGAGACCTATTCTAAGACACCAGCGCTTAGCCAATTTTTTCCTAGATAGTATAGACCCCCACGAATATGCCCTCCATTTGTCCCCGCTAGAACCCGTGTTTTGTAGCCAGGAAAATTGTTTAAACAAAGAAAAACCGTTATTTTTTAAGTTTTTTTGCTTGTAAACGGGGATTTTGAATTTTTTTTTGAATCAAAGTTGTTCATTAGCTTGCCCTCTACAAAATCAGTTCTATGAAAAAATAACGTGAGATTGTTAGTTTAGCAGTAAATTGCAATTATGTCGGTTTTACGTTTGCAACAATTCAACATGTTATAATAAACATTTTGATTTCTAAAGTAGTTTATCATGTGGGTAACGCCACTCCCAAGAGAGTCATATAAAATTTATCGACCTGTGTCGCAAACTTTAGCAACAATTCTCAATCTCCGAAAAAAAAGTACTTGCCTGTCCCGTCTTTCCCAGAAGGCGCACAGCGGGGAAAAAAATTCAGGTGATTCGATTCACCAAGAATTTTGAGGAATCGATCGAGTAGAAAAAAATCGTTAGTAAAAATGTTCGTTTTTGGACGATTTAATTTTTTTTTAAAAATTGACGTAGAATATATTTTTTTAAACTAATGTATTTTTCTCTCCTCAACTCGAATATACGATTGAAAATTTAAAAAATTCAGTTTATTTATGTACAGAAATTATTTACAAAACTATTAACTAAAATTCGATTACAAGACTGCGTTGTATTCTATATTTCTAATTAAATTAATTTCGTCCTTTTTTCTTCCGGTTCATAATCGGAATTCTCAGGGTATATTAGTATTATATATATATTCAGAATAGTATATTCGAGTTGAGAAGAGAAAAATACATTAGTTTAAAAAAAAAATTCTACGTCAATTTTTTAAAAAAAATTATATCGTCCAAAAACGAACATTTTTAGTAACGATTTTTTTCTAATCGATCGATTCCTCAAAATTCTTGGTGAATCGAATCACCTGAATTTTTTTCCCCGCTGTGCGCCTTCTGGGAAAGACGGGACAGGCAAGTACTTTTTTTTCGGAGATTGAGAATTGTTGCTAAAGTTTGCGACACAGGTCGATAAATTTTACATGACTCTCTTGGGAGTGGCGTTACCCACATGATAAACTACTTTAGAAATCAAAATGTTTATTATAACATGTTGAATTGTTGCAAACGTAAAACCGACATAATTGCAATTTACTGCTAAACTAACAATCTCACGTTATTTTTTCATAGAACTGATTTTGTAGAGGGCCAGCTAATGAACAACTTTGATTCAAAAAAATTTTCAAAATCCCCGTTTACAAGCAAAAAAACTCAAAAAACCGGTTTTTCTTTGTTTAAACAATTTTCCTGGCTACAAAACACGGGTTCTAGCGGGGACAAATGGAGGGCATATTCGTGGGGGTCTATACTACCTAGGAAAAAATTGGCTAAGCGCTGGTGTCTTAGAATAGAAGTCGGTCCAAATTATGGCTATTCCGACTGGACTATGATTCCTCCGTTATTAGCATCGAAACAACAATATTAAATACCCTAGATACACTAACACGACCGAAACCGTTCCCGAAACCTGTCCAAAAGGTACATTTGACGAACCACGGCACTCCATATAATGATCGGGTAGTCAAAAACAATATAAGGCATTATTTAAACATTGAAAGTCACCTGTAATACATACTGTATAAGGTCTTAATTAAAACGCATGCGTTCTGTGCGCATAAATTCTGAATGCGCTGTTAGCAATATAGCAGGTACGCACTGCGAGGAAAAGAGACGGCTATATAACCGACCATACATTTGAATATCACAAATATTTTTATTAAGTTAGCTTAAAAACTAAGTATTACAAGAAAATATGCTTCGAATGTGTTAAATTAACAAACATTGATTAAATATCTCTCGAAAAAATGACACTTTACATACTATAAGTATTTGTTTCGCATTTTTTCACGGAGCTCTGCGGCAACCTGGGGGGCATTCGCCTAAAGGAAATGCTTTGGAAAACGCTAACGCTTTCGATTTTATTTTGTTATTTCTGACCGCCAAAGGTTTTCAAATACCTCACGCTAATTTTTTTAATATTGTTATTACCTATGCAAAAGAAAAAAAAGAGCGCGAGACATTTGAAAAACTCAGGCGGCGAGAAATAACAAAATAAAATCGTGAGCGTTAGCGTTTTCCAAAGCATTTCAGTTAGGCGAATGGCCCCCTGGCTTTTCAACGGCCCGCGCGTGACTGAACACCAAGAAGTGCTTGAGTGGTGTTCAAGCACTTCTTGATTGGCACATTTTGAGTGCACGTGGTGTATCTAGGGTATTCAAATCGTTGCTTCGATATTTAATATACTCATCAAAAGAGTATAAGCAACATAAACTTTTTTGAACTGTTGACCGATTTTTGGTATTTTAAAGAGACATATTCATTTATTAATATTAACCAATTTGGTTTGGTGGCTGAAGCAAATATATCTTCTTATAAATTATACATGTAGGATGGCAACCTCGGCTGTGTAGAGAGAGCGAGTATGAGCGAGAAGGGTATGTGTGCGGGAGAGGATGAGAGGATAGCTTAAGAGATGGTGCTAGACTAGGATTAAGTAAATACGGAAAAACGTGTATTTAATTTAAAATAAATTAAAAGTACAAAGTGAACTTTATTAGTAGTCACCCCTATATACATATTGTGGGGGCTACATCTATATGCCCCACATATATCCAACGGATGGAGAAAATCATCACTCGTCTCCTCAAGAGATGGCGCTACCAACGCTGCGATCAATACGTCAACACAACACAACACTCCATATATACAATGCCCGACCATCAGTGCATCAGTTGGGCCGCGGCCCAAATGGCTGGAAGTCATCATGGGATGCAGTAGATGTTTTTTGTAATCTCTCCAAGGCTTTTGATTAAGTCGATCGCTGTACACTGCTTAGTAAATAATATTGTTTGTTTTCATGGAACGGACCTTGATCTCTACTCTCTCCTTACTTTCCTGTAGAAGTGAAAGAGTGGGATTAGATAAAGTTTAATCTGAAAGCTCAAATATTGGTGTGGTTCAAGATTCTATCCTAATATACATTTATAATACATTTACGCTGATGATAATTGACTAAGCTCGAAAAACTTTTCCTTTCAGATATAAAAAAAGTTATTACAACTAAGAATGCTGAAGAATATAAAGTATTTATAAATAATATTATTTTAGAAAATATAAGTAATCGCGATTGCCCAGAGCTGGCTTTAACGGGCATAGAAGCAGCATTGGAGGAAAGTTTACCGCATTCCACCCTCTACGTGTTCACCGATGCTGAAGCCAAAGATCGCCACTTGACAGATCGAGTCAGGAATTTGGCAATCAGGAAACAGTGTAAGGTAAGACTAAACTGAATATAGAAGCAAATCAAGTGAAATTTAATGGATACATGGAATATTGTGATCTAAAGATGAAATAACACTTCACATAAGGACAGTTTAGTTGGTTTCACTGTAATGGCTGTTCGTATTTGCTATTTGTAAACTTGCCAATAATCTGTCCTTATCACGTTTTGTAATAGCAACACGAATAGCCAAGTGCCGGCATAATATTATTATCTACTTGTTAGCTTGTACTTATACTATTCCTTTTTTTTTTTAATTTCAATCATTCCATTTACCGACCGAACAAATGTTTTCTCGCTCTCGTGGAAACGTAGCATCACACAAACCTTGACGTTACATTACATTCTCAATTTTTCACGCTGTTTCTAGCAGAATTTATTGGCAACTAGCGACACAAATGTTCTAAAAATCATAAAAATAAGTTTAGACAATTATTTTGTAGCATGCTTTAGCCGTCCTTCTGGCTATGTAATTGATATTTTGTGGCGATATAGACTTGTACGTATATTATGTGTTTGTTTGGTGCGGGCTCGTTTCGTTTAGGTTTCTATACTGAATCTGTGCAAATTCTTTACCAAGCACCACTTCTTTACCGGCTCGGTTTCCGTGTGGTTTCGTGTCGAACGGTTAGGGAGAATTCGGAAGCAATCGATAGAACTCGATGCAGAGAGCTGTGTATACGCTCGGTAAAGATTTAAGCCGAAACGACTCAGTCAGAAAGCAATAAAAAAAACATAATTTAATATCGTTTATGCAATCTACGCACAAGCACTTGTGGATACCAAAAAGCCACGCCATCCGTTCGCACATCTGCGGCAGGAGATATTGTACTTTTTGAGTTTTTTTTTTCTCCTTGTATTAGATACAGGGTGCTCATTTAATTGTATGCACTAGGCAAATAATCTAAACAGATTCGGAATAGAAACGAAAACGAAACGAGCCTGCACTGACCTGGCGAGGAAAGGACCATAATGTGGCCAATTTTGTTTTGCAGATAATTTTTATTATAACCGGCTTCTGTGAGAAAGTAGACGATGTATATTACACTTTGGCTAAAGCAACCAATGGACTAGTATTCAAAGGAAATAAGATCGACGTAGAAAAGGTAATTGAAACTAAACTTAGTTTTCTAATATTACTTTTTAGTACTAAGTGTTCGCTTATGTTGTTGATAAATGGTGAAGATTAATGTGAAGGATTTGCATCCTGTAGATGTTTGTTTACCTAAGTCTTTGTGAACGCCTAAGTAGTGCTCGGAAAAATATACATCAATTTTGTTGGAGTAGTAAATGAAACAAATTAGAATGCTTATTTTCAATAGAATAAAAGCCCATCAAAATCGATGTCTTACTACATGAGTGAAATTGCTATTTTTATTTGACAGGCTTTTATTTATTTTGCTTAAAATATTGATGATATATCGAAAATGGCACCTATACAATATTTTTTCATTTAACTTTAAATCTGAGATATATTTCGTTTCTATCGGGCTTGTTTTTTTTTTCATCCTGCCATTCGTTGATCGTCATTAATTTTGAATATGTTCTGCTTAGGTCCTACTAAGTCTTAATTTCCGCGCATTATTTAAGAAAAGACTACACACATTTATCTTTATCTCGCTATCTCAAGGAATGCTTTAATTACCTTCATAATTCGAATGCGTTATCTCTTAGGTCATCAGAAAATTTAACCTTAAAAATTCCTATCCATGACACGACCTTCTTTGGTCGTTCTTTTACCGTCCAAGCTATATGTCTATGGAATTCTCTTCCAGTATCCAGAAGACGAGCACAATCTATTAATATCTTTAAAAATCTAGTTGTAAATCACTATTTGTCGATGTAGCAGCATTTTTATCTCTGCTGACTGGACTAAACTTATATATGTGTAGTCTATGTGTATATAATATGTATGTATAACATGTTTAAATGTATTTATATATATTTAATTCATAAATTCGTTTAAATCCCTTGTTTCTTTTACTGACGCCGCCTACTCCTGCTTATTCAATCCTCTCCATCCAAAGGTTGTCTGGAATAAATCGCTTTTAGCGATAAGACCGCCCCAATGGTTTTAATAAACACTCTTTTTTTACAATTGTAATGTCCCTCATTTCTGTTCTGTGTTGTGGTGTTTTCAATAAAGTATTGTGTATTGTATTGTACACAAACTTGGCCACAACTGTGCAATGATGGACTTACGCATGTGTGCCTCGGCTTCGCCCTTGTCCACATTTTCACGTTCGTCTATCAATGATTTTTTTGCTGGCCGCTATAGTAATGTACTATAGCAGAGAGCTTTTTAACAAATAAATGTGAAATGTCAACTTCCGGGCCCGAGAAGCACAGTTTAACCGACCATCAGTCTCATTATCAGTATAGTGATTTCTCAATAATACTATTTTTAAATAAATCATCATCATTATCGCATTGACATTAATAAGATTATTCACTTCTCTTCGCTTTGGGTTATTTTGTTATTACGTGTGAAATAATTGTTGATATGTCTGTTGTTATTATTACCTACTTGGTAAATTTTCCAAATTATCTAAATATAAATAATGTTGCTACGTGTGGGGTTTGTTACACCATATCGAATGCCAGTATATCGGTGACAATTAACCGAAATCCCGATATATATTGATTCTCCGTTTGATCGTAATTTCAATAAATCGATTTTCAACCGCTGTATTATTAAATCGAAATTTCAATGCTTATAGCGGATCTTGATTTGCCATCACATTTCACAAGTGATGATTTACTTTGAAACTAATAAGTATCTGGAAAAATTATACCTTTCTCGTAAAACGTCTAATGATAATGTAATCATATTTAAACTGCCGCCAATGTTAGAAAAGAATATTACAAATAGGCTAACTCATAACCTCGAGAAAAATAACTTCTTGTCTACTATGCAATTTGGTTTTCGGGCAAAGCTGTCCACAGCGGATGCTGTGCATAATCTGATCGACCATCCTAATCAAGAACTAGGAAAAGGAAATCAGACTTTTACTATTATTTTTTTTTCATTTTTCATTACTGTGCCTGTGTACAATACAATACCAAGGCTGCTTAAAAAGTTGGAAGCTCTGGGAATACGGTTAAAAAAAAAATTGCAGACTACTTATATAATATAGGTATAATCGACATCAGTGCGTAAAAATAGACAATATTACCAGAAATCAACCTGCTATGATATATCTCAAGGAAGTATAATCGGTCCTACCCTGTTTCTTGTCTACATCAACGATTTGTGTAACACCACAATCTTCGCCACAATCTACTCACATTAAATACTAACAAAAGGGTGGTGAAACAAATTTTTTTTTCTTCGTTTATCAGGTAGATAATCAAAAAGTTTTGGACACGTATTTTTTCTTTTTTCGCATAATATAAATATTGCAGAGATTTATTGATTTGAAAAGTCGCATGACGTCACGTTGGAGTACACTTATAAGTGAAAATTCACTCAAAAGTGACGTCATGAGCCCCTACTCCCAAACTTTTACGCGCTATAACTTTGTCATTTTTTGGTTGATTGCCCAAAGAAAAAATACGTGTCCATTATTTCTTGATCATCTAACTGACGGACTATATAGAATTTCGTTTACTGTACCCCGTCATCACCCCTATTATATCCATTTCTCCATGCGCAAGCGTTATATTAGTGTTACTAACCCAAACTTATATGCACACCATTGTCAAAACCCTTTAGTCAATATATGCGATTGATCTGTAATCTCTAACACATCTATTATTAAATATTTAGATATTATAATTCACGACACATTATCTTTCAAACAGCATATTATTATAAACAGGATCAGTAAATTAATTTTATAGATATGAACGGGATTGTTACCATGTACCTTGTTTTTTATGAGTCTCTGCTATTTCGGCATTGTGTGCCGGGACCAGAGGGTTGACCGATATGTCTGCCAATAACATCTACCCGCAATTACTTCAGTTACTCCGTGATCATGGCGCTTGCAACAGCGTTCGACAGGGTCTGGCACAAAAGCCTTCTCTCCGGCATACATACGGTTTGCCAGCCCAGTTCTGTTCTTGGGTAGCTGACTTCCTGCAAGAGCGTAGAATTAGTGTCCTTACGAATGGTAGCAGTTCACGGTTCATGTCAGTAAATGGCGGCGTTCCCCAGGGCTCCGTCCTATCCTCCACTCTCTTTTTGCTGCATATCAATAACTTAATTCCTCTTGGGAATATTCATTGCTATGCAGACGATAGTACAGAGCATGCGGGGTATCTCGAACAAGCAGCGGCTGGGCAGGCGGTAACCAAGGAGAAACGGGATAATCTTGTCATTGAACTCAATCAGGCTTTGGACCAGATTTCCGAATGGGGTACCAGGAACTTGGTTGAGTTCAATGCCAAGAAAACTCAGGCTTGCGCTTTCACGGCAAAAACATCGCCATTCCTTCCCCTTCCCTCTCTTCAGGGCACAACACTACCGCTACAGAGCAACATTTCCATACTCGCTATGGAAGTTCGCTCAGACCTGAATCCAAAGAACTACATCGAAACCGTGATCAAAACAGCTTCACGCAAACTCGGAGTCCTGAACAAGGTGCGGCGTTTTTTCACGCCCAATCAACTGTGCTTGTTGTACAAAACGCAGGTGCGGTTCTGCGTGCAATATTAAATTTCTACAGCAATCTTCTGCTTTTATGAAGTGAAATCGATATATTAAGGTTCCTTAGACTAAATACTTTAAGAAATAAACATTTATTTAATACAATTTGACATGAGTAAACTAGCCTATTGAGGTTGTAATAGAGTATGACAGTAACCGTAATTCTAAGTTATTTCATATATTTTGTGGCTATTTTCCTCACTGCCCTTTACATTTCGATTGCTTGTGTTGTTTCTTCGAGACGGTATCAGAGGCTATTATCAGTCATGGTAATGATGTTATTTAATAGTAGTAGATTTTAATATTTCAACGGCTAAATGGAATCGAATTGGAACTTCCATGGCACTCTCGGATAGTTCTGGGCATGTTTTGGGTTGTTTGGAGCATTCTTTGCAGAGTTTCTTAGCATTCACCGATTTTAAACAGTACAATGATGTCAAAAACCATAAAAACAGAATGTTCGATATTGTAATGAGTAGCTGTGAATGTGCAGTAACTCATAGCAGTGAGCCATTGATCGATGAAGATGCTCACCATCCCGCACTAAGCGTGCTTGTTAAGTCATCGGTGCCTCAAACGTTGCGGTCGGTGTCACGTACTGTTTTTCTGTATAAAGTTGCTAATTATGAAACATTGAGCAGTGAATTAGCTTTGATAAATTGGCATGACCTTCTTAACGGTTGTGATATTGATACGGCTGTTGAACGGTTTTATGGTGAGCTGAACACTGTTATTTCTAGGCACGTTCCAAGCAAGATGATTAGGTGTGGTCATCGGTATCCTCCCTAGTTTTCTGCGGCCCTTATAAAGGTTATAACAGAGAAGATGAAGTTTCACAAAAAATGGAAAATTTATCGTAGACAATGTGACTTTGATACTTTTAGTTTTCTGCGTGAACGACAAAAACGAGTTCAAAGCGAATGTTATGACAAATATGTAAGTAATGCTGAAAGTATGATAAAAAGAAATAGTAAACACTTTTGGTCTTTTGTTAAGTCAAAAAAAGCTACTTCTGATATGCCTGACACTTTGTTTTTTAATAATCAGTCTTCAAGCAATGGGGAGCAGATTTGCTCTATGTTTAATGATTACTTTTGCTCTGCCTTTGAACCTCGTTTGGATATTTCCTCACAATTGACTGGGACGACTAATTTAGGTGTTATTTCCATAGGATCTGTTGATATTAATGTATCATTAGTTCAGAGACATCTCAAGAGCCTTAACATTGTGAAAGGTTGTGGCCCAGATGATATTCCTCCATTTTTCTTAAAAATGTGCCATAAAGCTTTAGCACTACCGTTGTACCTTTTGTTTAAGCTTTCTTTGGAAACCGGAAAGATGCCTTTGATTTGGAAGCAGTGCCATGTTGTCCCTGTATTTAAAACTGGCGATAAACATAATATCCAAAATTACAGGCCTATTTCTAAAATTAGTGTCATACCTAAGCTATTTGAAAAAATTGTGTATGACTCAGTTTTTCCATTTTTACGGCATGTAATTGTCAATGAACAGCATGGTTTTATAAATAAGAGATCCACCGAAACCAATTTATGCGATTTTGTGCATCGAGTCACCATGTATATGGATAAGGGTAGTCAGGTGGATGTGGTGTATACTGACTACTCCAAGGCCTTCGACAAAATTCAGCACCCTATTTTAATGCAGAGGATTAGTGAGGCTGGTATACATGGTGACCTTTTACGGTGGATAGAATCTTACCTCAGAGACCGTAGTCAGGCAGTTACTGTAAAGGGGCACTGTTCAACTTTTGTCCCGGTCACATCAGGTGTGCCACAGGGATCCCATCTCGGTCCTCTCTTTTTTAATTTGTTCATTAATAATGTAGTTTCAGTTCTTAAATATTCTAATATCTTAATTTATGCTGATGATATGAAGATCTTTAGAAAAGTCACATCTCTCCAGGATGCTGCTTTGCTCCAGAGTGATCTTGACAGTCTTTGCAATTACTGTCATAAGAATTGCCTCCATCTTAATCCGAATAAATGTAGTGTTATCACCTTTACTCGTAAACTCGTAAAGCAATAAAATTAAATTACAATCTCAATTTACCATTGAGATAATGCTATGCAGAGGATAAACAGAGTAACAGTAATCAAAGATTTGGGTGTGACCCTAGATAGCAAACTGACGTTTGAGACGCATATTAATGATATTACAACTAGGGTGTTGCGTATGCTTGGGTTTATAATTAGAATAGGAAAAGACATTAAGCACTTTTCTACATTAATGCTATTGTTGAACTCCTTTGTCCGTTCTATTTTAGAATATGCGTCCACTGTATGGAAGTATAAGGTTCATATAAATTCAATAGAGAGAATCAATCATAAATTTTTGAAATATTTAAATTACAGAGCACATCTGTATAACCAACCTGTGATAATTCTTTCTTCCTTAGTGGATCGTCGTGTTGAGAGAGATCAAGTCTTTCTTAATAAAATTATGTACAATCCCATTGTCTCTCTCTCCATTCCTCTTAAATAGCATTGGTTTAAGATGCCCTCGGGCAGGCTCCCGTCTAAAAAGTTTATTTAGTTTGCCTATAATTAGCACCAAATATACTGCCAATACTTTTGTGATAAGGTCTTGTACTGATTATAACAATAGGTTCACATCAATCGATATATTTAACTGTTCACTCAAAAATTGGAAAAAATATATACACGATATTGTAGATAGTTCATAATTATTAATTGTAACCAACAAAACTTGTTTTTTTTTTGTTTGTTTTTATTGGTTAAAACATTACCGTCTTTTTTCGTTCTCAATTTTAAATACCTGAATTATCATTATCGATGTTAGCTTCATTCGGTTCAAGTACTTGTTAATTAATAAAATCATTCAAAATCCATAAATCCACTAACACAACTTTATAAACGCCTGGACAGTATTATACGTGAATAAAATGATAACTGAGTATATCATCATCTAGTCTGGATCATTATCTGGAATTGGAACGCCTGTCTAGGTAATTAACCTCCACCTTACAAAAGACCATAGTAAATTACCCTAACTTTTAGTGGGGTAATTTACTATGGTCATTTACGCTGAGTAAGGATCCAGAGCTCAACGGGGTACGGGATTGGGTCAGGCTAGGCAAACTACGCAAGTATTAAAATCCAGAATAAATCTTAAGAATCTTAAGCGTATTGCGTTTAAAATACGCTATGGTGGCTGCTTACCATCAGGCGGGCCATATACTCGTCAACCGCCCTTTTAATATAAAAACCGACACGTTGAAGCGATTGTTGATTTTATAAGTATACCCTTAGAGGGTAAAGGGACAACTCTTTTTTGAATGCATTCATCATTCCATTTATGCCAACCATATCTTTAAAAATATGTTTTTACTTTTTGTCTACTTTTTATGACTCATAAATCATGACTCATAAATGTAGCCCAACCTAATCTTTAGGTTCCTAATTGTAAATATTTAATGGATATTTTTTTAAGGATCGTTTAAAGATTTTTAAAGGAGTTTTATGTATTGGCAGGTTTTGAATGTTGCAGTAGAAGGAATAAAGACTAAATGGAATTACGTTGCATCCGCAATATTTCCACCTGGATATGGAAACAAAATGAATGTAAGTGACATCCTTTAATATATTTTAAACACAGCACACAGCGCACTATTTTTATCACACGACTGCCTAAATAAAAAGTCTAATATTTTCCGGGTTCATCTATGTATGTACGATTCATAATTCCACCATAACTTAACACCAATAACGAGAGACGATTGAGATGTGTGTGGTATCATTACAATTCTTTCACCTGTATATTGCTTATAATTAATCTGAGCTTTTACCATCCCAGGTGACATAGGACATACTGTTCAAATTGAAATAACAACAATGGCGGATTGTCAATTATTGATGTCAAATAAAAAAGTCGTCTAATTATCACAAGGTCTTCTTCGTGTGACCATCTCAAATATATACGGTTAATGCGATATTTCGTCATACTCCTATTGCGTCGTTATTATCGAAGCACTGTGGTGTAACTTCGTAGCCGTTCTCATATAAGTAGAATGTACTAAAAACAAATATCGCAAAAACGTATACGATATTATCGGCCGATAGTAAAACGCCTATGGGGTGGAGGCCTTATTCTACAAGGCCTAACTTCATAAACTCTACTCCTCCTACTCGCTTCGGTTGCGTCAATGCTGAGCGTCGGAACACCTCCTCGCAGTGAAAGTTTGTTGCCGATTACGTGCCACCTTCCGTCGCGATCTGCCGCCGAGTGTAGAGCATCAAGAGCGGCGCGGATCTGATCAGTTCAACATGTCGGGCTTCTTCCACGTGGTCTTTATCCCTCTTCTTTGGCAGGGACCATTAACCTCTCTAGGTGGTCATCATTCTTCCTGACAATGTGACCAAAGTATTCCGGGATTTTACGTAGGCAAATGGTGGCAAGCCCTTTGTATATTTTTAGCTCCTGCAGGATCGACACGTTGGTGCGATGTGCTGTCTAAGGAATTCTCTGCATCTTACGCCAGCAGCACATCCCGAATGCATCGATATGATCACGGTTAGCTTTCTTTAAGGTCCAACTCTCAACTCCGTACATATATTGAAGAACACCAGCGTGCGTACAAGATTGGACTTGGTTTTCAAAGATATATTTTTGTCCTTCCATATTTTACAGAACTGGACTATGGCGCCCTTTGCCATCGTGATTCTCCGTCGTACTTCATTTTCGCATGAGCCATTGATGACAACTGATGCTTGAGCCCAGGTATATAATGTTATCAACCATCTCCAAGACAAGTTTCCCAGTGAGCTCAAGCTTGCCTGTGCGATGTATGACCATGATCCTGGTTTTAAACCTGTTCATTGAAAGACCCAGTTCCGTGCTGATGCGCTCCTATCCAGGAAGGTAATCATCTCTGCTTTAGTTGCCATCATGTATAACGCAGGTTACCATCGACAGTGATACCTCCATCCCAGCCCTAACAGGTACGACTCACCATCTCACATTTTCACCCAGTGCTTTTAACATTTTAGCTGTGATTTAATCTGGACCTGGTGCTTTCTTAGTTTTAAGTGAATCAATAGCTGCTAGTATCAGGTCTGATCGTTATATGTTGGGCTCTAGATCCAGATTGGAACAGATCACGTGAGTGTGTTCCAATGTACCTACTAGGAGTTCTATACGGCTATTCACAATAGCCGCGTCTTCATCTTCGATCTCTTATGTCTTGAGTTTAAGATGCCTACTCAGCAAGCGGACCTTCTTAAATAGAACCAAACTCTGCTGTTTGTTTGCAATGTCGTGAGATTCTACTTTACGACAAATGTTAGTTATGAAGTTATTCTTATCAAGCATTTGCTCTTAGTTTTTTTGGCATATGTTCGAATAGTCCTTCTTTACGTCTGGGTTCCATAGCCCTCTCACTTTGATTTCCTGTCTTTGCTGAATAATTTCCCACGTGTGATCCGTTATCTAAGCTGACCTCTTCTGATCCTTCTCTCGTTGCGAAACGATTACGCTTAGAACCCATTGATTTTGCATTCTAGACTTTTCCAGGGAGCATCGGCGTGTACCGTGAGTCGGAAATTTGGAGTGAGTTTGTCTTCTTCGATCATGCTTTGGAAGTGTAGTCGACATTGCTTTTTTACCGCTTTCAAGCACAGGAAAAGATGAGTAATTATCAGTATGCGATCGTAGCCACAACCTGCACCGGGAAAAGTCTTCCCATTTGTGATAGATTTTTTTACAGCGGGTGTCTATCAGTATATAATTAATTTGATATCTGTAACGATCACCTGGAGATCTCCATGGTGGTGTTGAAAATATGTATTCATAATACTTAGCTTCCTACCAATGCAGAAATCAATGAGTTTTTGACCGCACTCGTTTTTGGTGTCCAGACCATATTTCCCGATAGTGTCCTTGATGGTGTAGTCTGGTTCCACGTTGCTAACTTTTGCAATGCCGTCGCCGAGTATGGTTGTGATCTCACGGCTTGGTATGCCATCAAGTGTCTTTTCAAGGTTCTCATAAAATTCGTTGATATACTCATCAAAAGCTTGTGCTGTAGGAGCGTAGATCTGCACAATATTAAGAAGGCATGGTTTTGTGTTCAACTTCAAACTGATGATTCTATCAGACACAGGGCTGTGTCCGAGCACAAACTTGTTCATTTTTGATGCAAGAGTATAGCAACGCCATTCCTGCTCCAGTTATCTTTTTCTGTACAGTGTGCTTTCAGTTGAGGTCTTAAAATTTGCTTGCCCACGAAAATGGTTTTCAATGATGCCTAGTAGAGGATTCTGTGGTTTTCTCTTTCTTTGTCATTACTTTTACTTAAATTAAATTAAAAGTCGCAGTTACCAATGATTCATTGAACTCTTTACTTATGGTTATACACGTTTATTTATGTTTTCAAATCAAAAACACTTTGTCCTCATCAGCCTATTAATGTCCCCAATGCAGAGGCACAGGCCCAGTGCGGATTGGTGGGTGCTAACGACTGCAGATGTAGCCGGGACCAACTGCTTAACGTGCGTTCCGAAGCACGGAGGGGCTCGAGATAATAAGTGTTTGATCACCCATCTAATAACCGACCATTGCGAAAGTTGCTTTACTTTCACGATCGCAGGCCGAATGTACTAACCACCTGCGTCATCGAGCTCCTCAAAACCACTTACTTTTTATTATTTATTCAAATAGTAAACGGATTGATACAAATGAAAATTGTGTAAGAAATAATCTACCCAAAACACGAAATATACGTGAACGAAGTTGCTGGCAAAAGCTTCTCCCATTATATCGCAGACAACTTAAGATGTCGATTTCTTATTGTTTACACTGTGAACTTTCCAAGTTTAATGTGACTACTTTGTATCTTCCTACGTCATGAAATCCATCAATGGTTTCTTCATTTCAGGTGAGCGCTGATGAAGCCATGAACGACTTATTAGTTTCTGTAAGCGGCAACGAAGTGAAATTAGATGTGTCCAATCCAGATGGTAACATAGCTAACATCTCAGAAGTGGTGGACACATCTAACATAAAAGTGGGTACTTTGTTTTCATCGAAAGAATAACCATAACTATACCTTGGAAAGAACTGTCACTAATTCTGTATTATTAATTTATAAAGTATAAATAAGTTTGTGCACGTAAAAGATACAAACAAAAGCCACGCTTATTTATGATTTGTATAAAAAAGTGTAGCAAATTTAGATTAGATAAATGTGTGTACAAGTATATAATGGATGATAGAAGAGACATGGCAACAGGAAGTAAAAGAGTAAGAAATTTAATAATGTGACTTCAGCTTCACGCGCATATTTAGGATTGTATTGTCGAGTATGTGCAAATTTTCTAGAATTTCACATATTTGGAATAGTATGTTCAGAATGATACATTCAATTTATTTAAGGCATGATAAGCATCAAGAATTTTTATTTTTCATAATCAGCCGATTGATGCCCACTGCTGGACATAGGCCTCCTCTAGGGATTTCCAAACACAACGATCCTGCGCTTTCGCATCCAGTGGGTGCCCGCGACTCGCTTGATGTCGTCAGTCCACCTGGTAAGGGGGCTACTGATACTGCGCTTCCCGGTGCGATATCGCCATTGAAGAACCTTAGGACCCCAACGACCATCGGTTCACCGAACAATGTGCACCGCCCATTGCCACTTCAGTATGGCGATTCGTTTAGCTATGTCGGTTAATCGAGTTTTTCTACGAATTTCCTCATTCCTGATTCGGTCACGTAGAGAAACACTTAGCATAGCTCTCTCTATCGTCCGCTGTGCGACTCTGAGCCTTTTTATGAGGCTCATTGTCAACGATCACGTCTCAGCTCCGTATGTCATCACTGGCAACATGCACTGTTCGAAGATCTTGGTCTTCAGGCACTGAGATAATTCGGACGAGAAGACATCGCGAAGTTTCAAATGGACATCTAAAAGATCATCAATTTCTATGTAAGAAACACCAATACTGCATTTTTCAAATAGTGGAGAAAGTGGTTACTGAATCGATTTCTGGTCGCTCTCCGTGCAGCTGGATTTGGAGTTTCTATTCAGTTTTGTCAGCTATCTTCCGTTTTTGAAGTGAAAACTTCTTTAACGGCATTGTACATTTTTTTTGTAATGGGTAAAAAATGTTAAACTCGCGTCAGGACACGTGGCCTGATCGAAAATTCGTAAGACGAAAACTTCTTTAGCGGCGTTGTACACTTTTTTTTTGTAATATGTAAAAATGTTAAACTCTCGTCAGGACACGTGACCTGATCCCGTAAGGACACGTGGCCTGATCGTCATTCATGGATGCTGACAGCTGATAGCTCGACCGTCTGTATAGTGGAGATAAACTTTTTAATGTAATATATATTGTCATTTTTGTGTACGATAGCGCAATAATAAATACTAGCAAACCAGTGAACCAAATGTTCATCAAAAAAAAAATGTATTTAATTAATTGAGAACTTCGGAGATTTTGTGTGGTTTCGTTTGAAATAGAAATCACGTGATTTCTCGAAAACCGGAAGTGCTACGTTACTCAAATCCGGTTTGTAGTCTTATCAGACTATTCTTAACTTATAACTTAAACATTCTCTTTATCTATCTCTTACGGTTTGGCCGCTGAAACAGCACCACGGACGGACGGACTTGTCTATTAGATAAGAGATACGCTACCAGTGAACCAAATGTTCACCAAAAAAAAAAAATTGTATTTAATTAATTGAGAACTTCGGAGATTTTGTGTGGTTTCGTTTGAAATAGAAATCACGTGATTTCTCGAAAACCGGAAGTGCTACGTTACTCACATCCGGTTTGTAGTCTTATCAGACTATTCTTAACTTATAACTTAAACATTCTCTATATCTATCTCTTACGGTTTGGCCGCTGAAACAGCACCACGGACGGACGGACGGACTTGTCTATTAGATAAGATATTATATTTTATCACATAAATGATAGTACTTTTATACTGATAATTAAAGCAATTCGTGCAAAATTATTCCCTAACCATTCAAAAATATCAAAAATGCACAACATTAATAATCAAGTTTTCACTTCTGCCGGCACTCCCGGAGTGCAACCCGTCGTTTTTTTTTATTTGTACTGATTGAATACACATGCAATTAAAATTTTATGTTTATTCCATTATAATTAATGTAATTCATCGAAAGTTTTTGCAATTTAAAACCCGAGGCAAGCGTAGTAGTAGGAGAGCTACTGAACCCTCTGAGTAACGGTCTGTCTGTAAGGCTAGAAATTCTCATGGTGATGAGTCATAGCATGCTTAGTACGGTAAGCACTCCTCAGCCCTGCACGTCATCAAGCCGTATATGTTTGAAAATGTCAAAAAAATATTAAAAAAATACTTGTAGCTGTAAGCTTTAAATTTTTATACAATTTAGTTCATTCATTTTTAACTTTAAAAAAATTGCCAGGCATTTACGATGAGCACAAGTACCCACCAGGCGAACCGGAAGGTGTGTAATATATACATAAAAATGAACTTTATTCTGTAAAGTTGAAAGGACATTGTTCTGCGTCCATACATTGTTAGCCTAAGATCCAACAATCACGAAATATTATTTTCTAGGTTCGAAATTGCAAGTAAATGACTGTAAAAACAAAGATTTTTGACGGACACTTCTGAGAACTTAATTTATCAGGAAAACTAAATATTTTTTGAGGTTATGTTTAATATTAAATGAAACATAGGTCAACCTATGAACTTAATATGAATTGAATTAATATTACAACTAAATCATTTTTATTCGGTGCGATTTTAAATAATAACTATTAGGAAAAACTTGGTTAGGTAGGAATCATGAATAAAATAAAAACTGTAGTTTTGCTTCTTATTTTTTGACTATGTTTCACATAATTGTATCATATTGTTTAATGTATTTATTTGTATGTCACATGTATATTGTGTAAATACGCAGCGTGAATGTGCATCAGGTTCTCTTGAATAATTTGGCAGTATGATCCTCTCAGGATGTTGTGGTACAGGTTCTCACTTGGTAATTAAGGTCTCTGCTATTTGGTATCATCGATGGTATATAAGATAGCCTAAATAGTTAAAGGAAAAACAATCGCAAATAAATACACACAACAGGTAATCTGAAACGAAAATGCACGGATGCCACAGACATTTAACTTTTTATTATATCTTACTTAACTGGAAGTATCCGTCACAATGTAAATACTGATAATTATCGCAAAAAATATACTAAGAATTATCATAAATGCCAAATTGGTGTTGGTTCTTAGGCCAAATTGAACATTGTCCTTTATATATGTGTTTATTTAAGTCATTTAAAGTAAGTAGGTCGAATGCCAGGCGGTTCTGGCTAGCACAAGTCCTTGCCAGGCGAGAGGAAAGATGCTGCGGTAGTGCGAGTAAGAGTCGTGGTATGAAAACTTACGGTATATTATTCATGCAAATTAAATGATGTGAAAATAAAAGTTATGAGTAAAATATATTTTATTATTATGTCTTTAAATTAATTAATAAATCTTTATCATCATCAATTTCTTCATCATCAAAATAGGATCCTTAGTTCCTGATTTCTTCATCTAAAAAGAAACAAAGTTTTAATACATTAAGAATAACATTACATCTCTGACCTTGCGCTCAATTAAATAGAATTTCATATATTGTTATGAAATGTGTATTACCTTTAATGAGTTCTTCAGCGTCACTTGACTCATTCTCAGCAGTTTATTCTTTTTAGCGCAATTAAAATAAAAAGTTGTTTAAAAAAGATTTTTACTTTTAATTTATTATTTACTTTTTAGTTATCGCTGGATATAATCGAGGACTTCAAAAACTTCATATTCTTAGAAAGTCCTTTTATTTGATACCCATATTGTTGGAAAGTATAAAAAACTTAGTCTGTCTGCCTGTAGTGTCATATTTATTATTATTATTATTTGCATTTAGTTTAACTAGGTAAAGTTTTATTATAATTTTATTTGCGATTTAAAGTACGTAGGTAGAATGACAGGCGGTTCTGGCTAGCATAAGTCCTTGCCTCGTGAGGGGAAAGATGCTATGGAAGTGCGAGTAAGCGGCTCAAGGTGAACTCGGTGGTGCGATTAAGACAGTTTATCTAACTGGAAAATAGGTCCTATACCTGAAAAAAAAACCGTCGGAGGTAACAACGATTTATCTATGTAAAATCTTACGCAGTATTTCACTGTTTTATATTGCGAAGTACTGTATTGATTTAAATTTCAATTAAATATTAATATTGATTGTGCAGTTATTCTTCTGTACGTCAGTTGTGCCAACGATTATTCATATTTAAGTAAATAGTGAGTAAAATGGAATCAGCAAACGTTGTTTGTGTGATTTGCAAACAAAATATTGATGACAAAACTGTAAAATTTACAACAAGTACTTTAGACAGAAGCAAATCAATATTAAAAATTAGAAAACAACATAACTTAAAATTAAATGACATTTCTTTGCCAGAGGAAGTTCATGATAATACAGGTTATCGTGTGAAGTGTTACAAAAACTTTCTTGCTGTAATGAAAAAATATGGCCAGAGCAAAACATTGACTTCATCCAATGTACCAGCATCATTGGCGCGTATATTTTTATGAACTTACTTATTCTTTACTAGAGGTCGCCCGCGACTTCGTCTGCGTTAACTAAGTTTCTTGGAAATCCCTCTGGAACATAACATTTTTTTCGGGATAAAAGTAGCCTATGTGTTATTCTGATCTATAAGCTACATTACTGTAAAGTTTCATTAAAATCCGTTTAGTAGTTTTTGCGTGAAAGAGGAACAAACATCCATCCATACATCCATCCAAACAAACTTTCGCCTTTATAATATTAGTAAGGATTAGGTTTCATCTAAGTATCGAGTTGCATTTTTTCAAATCGGTTACTTCACAGAAACATGCACACTACTAAATATATATTAATTAACGGTAATTAATTTCAAATTATGAGCAGTTTTAAGTTATGTACGTTTTCATACTACTCTTACTCACACTGCCGCAGCATCTTTCCCCTCGCCTGGCAAGGACTTGTGCTAGTCAGAACCCCCTGGCATTCTACCTACTTACTTTAAATCGCTTAAACAAACACATATATAAATTTCAACTTTACAGAATAAAGTTTATTTCTATGTATATATTACACACCTTCCGGTTCGCCTGGCAGGTACTTATGCTCATCGTAAACGCCTGGCATTTTTTTAAACTTAAAATGAATAAACTAATTTGTATAAAAAATTTAAGCTTACAGCAACACATTCTTTTTTAATATTTTTTTGACATTTTCAAACATATACGGCTTGATGACGTGCAGGGCTGAGGAGTGCCAGGCGATGCTTACCGTACTAAGCATACTATGACTCATAACCAAAAGAATTTCTAGCCTTACAGACATACCGTTACTCGGAGGGTTCAGTAACTCTTGGTCTATAGGGAAATGTGATTTCATAGAAAATTTAACTATCATTAGTGATAATAGATGGCGCTGATTTATTTTGACGTATAAGGATTTTTTTAATTGTAAGTTTTCATTTGACTATAAGTGTCGATGAGATTATGATGACAATCGGTGTGAATTATCAAAGATTTTAATGAACACAATCGCTATTCTCACATTCCTTTAAAGGTTGTTAAAGTGAATGTGAAAGAACCTGGGGAATATGATTTGACACTCGGCAGCAAGTCTAACACTTCTGTACTCGTTGAAGCTGATACTGACTTTAACTTTAATCATGGTTTCTCATTGAGCAAGCCTTATTCAATAGTGGGAACATCAGTATTGCCACTACCAGGTCAGTATAAATATATTATCTTATCAACACTTGTTCTAGTGTTTTTATACAAACTTTTTAAAATAAAGCTATTATACACGCAAATAGTTTTACTTAATCACACTTATGGTAATCATATACGCCACTCTAATAAAGGTAAACTAGCAAACCAGTAACCAAATGTTCACCAAAAAAAAAAAAATAATAATTAATTGAGAACTTTAGAGATTTGGTGTGGTTTCGTTTGAAATAGAAATCACGTGATTACTCGAAAACCGGAAGTGCTACGTTACTCACATCCGGTTTGTAGTCTTATCAGACTATTCTTAACTTATAACTTAAACATTCTCTATATCTATCTCTTACGGTTTGACCGCTGAAACAGCACCACGGACGGACGGACGGACTTGTCTAATAGATAAGAGATAATAATACCGCACTACTCACCGCGAACTCGAGAAATGTCAATCATGATCTCTGAAATTTATGTAATACGCGGTTGTTATAATCGATTAATTTAGAAATGTTAAATTTGTTTCTAGGTGAAAAATCTTATTTGATCATTGCCGTGAAATCACGGGACAACATCACTTTAGACACTGTGGAATTATCAGATCTAGACCGCAATTTAATTATGGAACTGCCATTGGAAAACATTGGACATTCCTATGTAACTAAAACTGATTTCCTACCTCCAGACGGTTTGTTTAAAATTACGGTAAGTTTTTTTTATTCTTAATTTAAAAAGCAAATCTTTATAAAGCAAGTAAAATTATGCTAAATTTAAATACATCGGTTATAGCATTTATTTAAAATAACCCCAGAACACACAGTTAACTTCAGGTGGAAACAAATAAACATTTAATCTCCCACAGGTAAAGGGATTGCATGTTAAAAGCAATATGATGGTCAAGAGGACATGCCCAATTCCCATTGAGGTTCAAGACACAGAGTTAGGTAATTTATAAACATGAATTGATTTATTTTCTTCTACGTTAGTGAAATCAATATTTTAATCAGGTAAAAATAGTCACAGAACCTGAAAACCCAAATAGTAAGACACTGGAAGGCAATATGCGTTATTACTACCCTGGTAATCCTATTACGGAATCTATGCTTTATTGGTTTCGCATCACAAAATCCTATGCTGTGTGCTAAATTTTTGTTGAGGGAAAATAACAAGTCGTTTTGAAACCAGTATCTGCTATGCGTACTTTTTGTAACTTTCGATATTTCTATCATTATGATTAGGATACTCTAGTATACTAACCGATTTTCAAATACTGCTATGCGAAACTTTAGCATAACAACAGTGAACAGAGGTTGCTTAAAATATGCTATTAACTGATATGTTACATTTTTATTTGTTGCTAGTAGCAATCACAAATTAAACCACATACAAATTTAATATTATACATACCTCACATTTTTAATTAAGAATACTTCAATAAATAAATATTTTATATATCATGAATATTGTAAAAGATCTGTAAACACCATGTTTATGTAAACAAAAATAAATGTCTTTGTTTAATTTAGACATTGATACCACAAAGTAGCCACGTAAAGGAGAGAACCTTTTTTATTTTGTGTTGATACTGTTACAGTGACAAAGGAAAACAAAGCACCGGAAATGATAATTGACAAAGGGCTTCTTATTAAAGCAGAATATAATGAACCTTTAGTGATCGGTTGTAATGTAAAAGCTTATCCAAAGCCTACAATAATGTGGTACGATGAAACGGGGTCTGTAGTCGAGGACGAAGTAAGTTGATATCTGAATATAGATTGCAAAAAGGGCCAAAACCTCCTAATCAGACAATTATAATTTTGTATATTATAATAATTCTCTTTTCATAATAATGTACGTAATTGTATTGTCTATTATTTATGTATCATTTCAATGTGACGAATGAATTAATATATGTGTATATGTGATAACAGTTGCTACATTTCTTAAATCTATATGATATGCCTTGTTTTTAGGTAAGTGACGTAGATCTACCATATAATTATAAAAATAATCTGAATATTAAAAAAGTTGTTATGAATGCAACTTACACATGTGAAGCTGTTAATTCTTATGGTAAAGCAAAGCAAAAAGTCCAGGTCAATGCTGAAAAGAAAAAATATTTTGACGTACAATTGCGTCCTACAGGTAACTGTATTACAAAAAATATTCGAAAAAGCGTAGTTGGAAGCTCGTAAGCTATTTTATATACTATTTGCACCAATACTTAAATCGTCGTAATCTAATATATTTAATAATATGTGTTACCCAGTAAAAAGACATAGCTCCCTTTATTCATTCTCTATATTTATTTTACTACCTACAAAATATAAATTTTATAATATTATAGACACGAAGATCGAATACAAGAAAACAGGAAGCGTATCATGTAAAATTGATTCTTATCCACTATCCGAGGTGACATGGTATAAAGATGACAAATTGTTACATAATGATAGTAATATAGAAATATCATCCGACGGAACCAAACTTAATGTCAAGAATATGACTCCCGAACTGAATGGTACTTACTCGTGTAAAGCACAGAATGGTGTGAACTCCAAAGCGTTTTACTTTAACCTTATTGTAACTGGATTTGGTATGTTTTGCATTATATTTGAAATGCATCCTCTTTTTACTTAATTCAAGACAAAATTAGTTTTTTCTCCTTCTATTTTAAAGCACCAACGGTGGGCATTAAAGAAGGAGCTAAATTAACGATAGAGTATAATGCACCAATTGATTTGGAATGTTTAGTAACTGGTTATCCTAAACCACTAGTTGTTTGGACAGAAACAAATACTGGAAATGTTTTACCGTCTGATATTGTAAGTAAAAATCTATTTAACAGAATACTGAGACACTTTTTACACTGACACTGAGATATTTTTTTCAATATATTACTCTAAAAATATTTGTTTTTAAAATTTTGTTTCAAAGGAAAGCAATTAGAAACATTAATCCTAGTGTAATTTTCTCATATTGTTCTTAATATATAATATATCTTTGTGTTAGGTGCCATCTAGTGGTGGATTAGATTATGATTATATCAGTTTACTTAAAATTGATCAATCTAGAAAGAACGCTACATATCAATGTCTAGCATCTAATGATCACGGCAAAGACACTAAAATTATTGAAGTTGAAACCAAGGTGCATTTAAATATTGAAGAACGACCAAAAGGTAATAAGTTTAAAACATATATATTGCTCTGTGAAAAAGAATAAAATCAAGGTTGTAGTAGTAATATGTTGACTACAAAATTAATCATTCACAGATATTAATATTGCACTCAACCAAGAAGGTAGCACTACATGTAAATTCGATGCCAATCCACCAACCAAAATAACATGGTATAAAAACGGAGTGAAACTGGAATCGAGTGATTCTTTTGATATAATAGACGACGCTAATGGATCTAGTGTTCTATCAGTCAAACAAATGAAACCATCTTTGATGGGTAACTACACCTGTCAAGCTGTAAATCCATTTCAAACAGAGGAATTGAACTTCTATGTCCTTCTAAGTAAAAACGGTATATTTTTTTATTATTATTTTTATAAAAGGCCTTTAAGATTAACAGTTTATGTTCATCTTGAAGGCTTCTGTTTATGTTATAAATATATGAAATTCGTCACAATCACATCATCATCATCAGCCTATTAATGTCCCCACTGCTGGGACCTTCCCTAAGGATCGAATAGGGAGATTGGGCCATGACCCATCACGCGGGCCCAGTGTGTATTGGTGGGTGCTAACGACTGCAGATGCAGCTGGGACCAACGGCTTAACGTGCCTTCCGAAGCACTGAGGAGCTCGAGATAGTAAATTTTTGGTCACCCATCCAATGACCGATCACAATCACATAGTCTGCTATTATTTAGTAGAATTAAAACAAAGAGGTAAAAGTAACTGAAAACGTACCTAGATTTATCAGACAATTATACTTCACTATTCATTACGCATATGACACCTGATATGAATCGAACATATTCTTGTAGAGTACATACTGGAATCAACTCAACAACGTTTTAATTGAACGTTGAAATTATAGGTGCTAGTGATATTAAGTTTATTTTTTATTTGAAAAATTCAAATAGTTGTAACACTGGAAGTTAATCAATGCCTATTTTTTTTATTTAAAGTGCCTAAAGTAAACATAAAAGAAGCAGTAAAGAAACATGTGGAATATAACGAAGCCCTCAACTTAGAGTGTAAAGTGACAGGATTCCCTGAACCTAATATTGTTTGGAAAGAATTAGATTCTGGAAACATTTTACCGTCTAAAACAGTAAGTTCATATATCTTTTGCATAGGTAACATGAAAGTCAATTAATCTATGACAAACCCTATAATAATTATAATGACACAAATATTTGTTATTTCATAGTTTTTCTTTTCAGATACCAAATGTTGATATGGAAAGTGAATATGTTAGTGTGCTTTATATTAAACAGTCAACAAAAAATGTTACATATCAGTGCTTAGCATCGAATGATCAGGGTGAAGACAGTCAAATCATTGAAGTAGAAACAAAAGTGTACATTGACGTAATTCAACGACCAAAAGGTAAATAAGTATTAGAATTATTATAAGTGGCTAACGTAAATATTTCAAATACACAGCTTGAGTTTTAAAACACAGATACAAATTGAAAGTTCAAAGATGATCTATAGGCCAAATTTAACAAAACGTGGGAAATATCAGGGCCAAAGCTTTATGTGATTTACAGAAAAAAGCAATTAAAATATTTTTTTTACATATATGTATATATAATGCTACCCTTTGATCCCACCTTATTGCTTGTTTTCTGCTACCGTTAGTAAATATAATAATTAATATAGAGGTGTATGCGCCGATTAAAAAAACTAGTGCCATTTCAAACACATATAGTGGAGATACCAATAAAAATATTAGTAATATATTCAGTACAGTGTAATCCAAAACTAAGCAGAGCCTGTACTGTAGAAACTAAGTAATTAATAGAATGCATGTAATACATATATATAAACAACCAATATTAATGCCCGTCACATAGACCAATGGACCTACTGGGATTCAAACCTAGGATCATAGGAGCAAAAGGCAGGAACGCTGCCTTTGCACTAATAATAATAATTGATCGTTAAATAAACAACAATATTCTTACTTTTTTTTGCTTGTTTGTTTTTCATTTTATTTCTCTTTAGAAAAAAATGATATTAGAAATCTCAATATCATTTTTGAAGACCTATCCATAGCTAGCCTATACGAATGAGTTTGATGAAAAAAAAATTTGATTTTTAGTTCCGGAGAACCCCTAAAATTTATTGTTTTTTTTTCTATTTTTGTATGAAAACTCTTAATTCACAGAATACATCTACTTACCAAGTTTCAATAGTATAGTTCTTATAGTTTCGGAAAAAAGTGGCTGTAACATACGGAAGGACAGACAGACAGACTGATATGACGAATCCATAAGGGTTTAAACCATTTCCATTTGGATACGGAACCCTAAAAATAATAATTGGTGACTTAAGAAATGTTGTCAGCAAAACATTTTCTACTCAGTCAGTTTATAAATTTAACAGCTATGCTCTTGTCGGTGCAGACTATGTATCCACCTCCATCTCCCTCTATGGGAGATAGAGGTATGGTTGAGAGGATGGGTGACCAAAAGATGTTTGGTCACCCATCCAATGATGAAATTTAGAGAGAGAGAAGTTTAAAGTATTTTTTTTTGCAGATTTAAATATAGTATTTAGAAAAGATGGCACTGTAAGATGCAAGGTAGATGCTAAACCAGCAGCTATTCTGATGTGGTATAAAAACGGGATTAGGTTGCGTTCTGATGACAACCAAGACGTGATGTATTTAAGTGATGGGTCCAGTATGTTGATGATCTCAGAAATGAAACCTCATTTAGTTGGAAATTACTCATGCAGAGCAATAACTGATTTCCAATCAATGGACTTAAATTTCAACGTCATGATTATTGGAACTGGTAATGTAAAATAAAAACTAATAAGTAAATTCTTTTTTGATATTAACAATGTAGTCCATGAGGGCCGCGGTAGCATAATTGGTCAGTGCATTCGCCCGGATGGCGAAGGGTGCGGGCTCGAGTCCCGTCTGCAGCCTTTTTTTTTTTTATTACGCAGGTAAAAAATGCTATTTACAGACGACGGCGCCTTTAAGAGGCACACCGCCGAACGGACCTTACACCTGGCTTCCGCAAGTCTTACGGGCGCCCCAGTGGCTGTCCACCGAGGACCCCGCAACTCTTACGGGCGCTTTACGGCATAATATCCGCTAAAAAAGTCCTGCGAATACCCTCTAAGCTGCTTAGCGCGAAGCCGCGGGATCCCCGTTTAGGGATTCCTCCGCGTCTCCGCACCTAGCAACTTCCCGGCCTAGCCGGGGCTCCACGACAGGGGTCTCCCGGGGTATCACGGGGACCCCGCAGACGTGCGCAGGTAGGCCCGCGCGTGGGGATTGGGTACGCGGCCTAATGCCCACTGTACCGCCCCCCGTCCGCTGCGGAGGGCTACTTGGGCGTGCCTGTGTAGCTCCTTCCGCCGCCCCCCTCTTTGCAGGACAGAACTACAAGGAGGGGCTGCCGTCACGAGGTCCGTCGGTGGTCGGCACAGCCAACGCCATGTCGGTCAGCGTGGGACCCCCCGGGTAGGGTCATGGGACGGGCGCAGCCAGTGCGCGTCGCCGTCCTCTTCTACCCGTCCTCCTTTGGCGGGAGGGAGCGGCCAGAGGATCATCCTCCCGCTCCCTCTCGGCCGCCTCCCATGCGAGAGGGCTCCACATCCCAGCGCCGCAATCAGCTCACGGTGCTGGTGTCGCCAGGCCGGGCACTCCAATAAGGTGTGCAATGATGACATTGCGGCGTCTCCTCTCGAAGTGCGACACGGTGCAGATAGTGACCGAAGCATCCATGCCCGGTCAAGATCTGCACCATGCGGAACGTGAGGCCGCCGCGCCGGCGACCCAACCATTCCTCCAACACCGGACGAATGGCTTCAATTGTCCGGTGGCCGGCACTAGCATGGGCGAGTGCCTCATCCCATCGCCGCAAAGCTTCGCTCTGGGCGATGGAACGGACTTGCCTCAGCTCTGCTAGGGCAAGTCTTTCACCCCGCTCCCTGGCCTCGATCCGACCTCGATGCATTTCTGCCATAACCAGCGCATCTAGGTCCCACGGCGTCGCGCCTGCGAGCACGCAGGCGGCGCCGTGGCTGACCGTGCGGTACGCTCGCACGGCCCGGGTCGCGATGACCCTCTGCGGACGTCGCAAGAGGGCCCTCGTGCGGGGTTTGAGGCACTCAGCCCAAACCGGAGCTCCGTAAAGTGCCATCGACCGTATCACCCCGTGATACAGTCGACGGCACGCAGTACCTGGTCCCCCCACGTTCGGGAGGACCCTGCCGAGTGCCGCTGCAGCGGCACACAGCCGTGGAGTGAGGAGCTTAAAATGCTCCTCGAAACTCCATCGGGGATCTAGTACCAGGCCGAGGTACTTCATGCTTCCCTCGACCGGTAGTCGGACCCCCTCCACCCGGATATGGAGCCCCGGAGGGGTACTGCGACATGGGCCATGGAACATCATGGCCCTCAATTTGTCGAGGGCCACTTCCAGGCCCAGGAGGTGGATGCGTCGGACGACCATCGATGTGCCGACCGACGCTAGGCGCACCACATCCTCCACCTCCTTTGCTTTCGCCGCGACGAGGGTATCGTCGGCGAAGCAGACAACCTCCATTTCAGGAAGGAGGCTGCTCGCAGCACCCAGTTGTACCCCAGGTTCCAGAGCAGTGGACCCAGCACTGAACCCTGGGGCACACCTGCGGCCATAGCCCGCGAGCAGATGCACCCGTCGGGCCCCTCGTAGAGGACCATCCTGCCCTGGAGATAGTCCTCCACGATGGCGCGCAGGTATGGAGGCACTCGATGAAACCGTAGTGCCTCCATGATACACTCGTGGGGGAAGCTGTTAAAAGCGTTGCGTATGTCTAGCGACACCGCAATAACAGCCTCACCCCGCGTCTCGTCTGCAGCCTGGTCCGTGTGGATTTTTTTCTAGTTATATTTTCTTTAGATTTAAACATCAATCAGTTACATGCTTTAAAAATAATAAAAATTATAACTAAAATTGCTATTTCTTCTTTCAAATGTTTAATACTTGTAAAAGTATTCATTTGACATTGTGGCTTACCTATAATGCGAAGAGATGGCGCTGCATTGCAGCTTAAGAATAGCTAGAAGAATTTCGACGCGGTAGCATAATTGGTCAGTGCATTCGCCCGGATTGCGAAGGGTGCGGATTCGAGTCCCGTCTGCTGCCTGGTCCGTGTGGAATTTTTTCTGGTTATATTTTCTTTAGATTTAAACATCAAGCAGTTACATGCTTTTAAAATAATAAAAATTATAATGTAGTTATGTTTTTTTGAAGTTATACTTCTTTAGGCACGTTATGAAAAAATGATGAGAGTGAAATTTTAAGATGCGCGCGCATCACTGTAACACAAAATTTTAACAGCATGAAGTTGGTCGCTAAAGCGACTTCATGCGTAACTTTTGTGTTTACCGCACATTAAGAAAATCTACCAACAAAATAGAAATAGAATCTCTATTTAGTGGGTGCTAACGACTGCATTGTGAAGGCCTATCAAAAGTATTTATTAATCTGGAACAACGGAACCAAAGCGCGATTCAGGAGACAACAGCGCCATCTCTTGACCATTGGTGTAGTAGAACCAAAAACCACATCTTTATTTTTTCTAATAAAGTAACAGTTATAGGTATTCATATTTATAATATTTATCCACATGTTTCTAGTTTGTATATTCGGAATACGTGTTTGAGTTTCATACAAGTGCAAATCACATATGTTCTAATAAATTATATTATTTATTTATTTTTTCAAATTAAAACTGAACTTTACTGACTGTGTCCTTTTCCAGACTTTTTATTAATTTATTGTAATTAATTATTTGCATGCAATTAAAAACTAATTTTAAACGATGCCAAAGAAAGATAACTTCTCACGCGCCTACATAAGTACACGCACCCATTTTTTTTGGGTGTTCAGCTGTGGGTTCGAGTCCCGTCTGCTGCCTGGTCGGCGTGGATTTTTTCTAGTAAAACTTTTCTTTAGATTAGCAATGTAGTTATATTTACTAAAATTGAAGGTTTAAACTTTATTTTAGCTCCTAAAACGTTTGTTGAAGGGAAGCCTAAAATAAAAGTCGATTATGATACATCACTTCAATTACTTTGTAAAGCATCGGGATATCCTGAACCTGACATTGTTTGGCTGAACAGAGACACTGGCAAAGAATTCGATTCTACTGTAAGTTCCACGTTATTATTTAACATAGTGTATGTTCGTGATTGTAGTAAGATACTGCAAAATAAATATGTTAGAATAGTGGCCGCCCGCGACTTTATCTTCGTTAACTTTTAACCCTTGTTTTATCCCTTTAGGGGATGAGTTTAAAAAACTTTCCCTACGCACGTCTACATCATTATTGAGAAATGTATTCTGAATTTTAGATTTTATTGACAGTATTTGTGATCAAATTGGTAATGCATCCTAAATTGAAATTATTTTTATAGATTTTTAATTGAGATTTGCTTTCATTGACATAATTTTTTTCTTTTATTTATTTTTACTGACATATCAATTGTCATTTTTATATAGTTTACAACATTGAAATAATATTGTTAATAATTAAATTAATGTAACTTTATAAGAATTTATTTTTAGTTTGAAAGGACGACTACACTATTGAATAAGGTGTATACCTGTTATAATGGTGTAATGTATTTTGAATAAATAAAAATACTATGTTTGTGATTTGACCTGTGTGTTCATAGATCACTCAGTCAGTTACGGTTGCTTTTTAAATACAGACTAGAACGGTGTGTCGGTGTTATCTTTAGTTTTTTGAGAATCCACAGTAATCTTTAATTTTTCCGAGATAAGAAGTATCCTATGTCTCAAACTAGGTAAAAAACTATATGCGTCCGAAATTTCAACCAAATCCGTTCAGTGGTTCTTGCGTGATTGAGTAACAAACATACAAACTTTCACATTTATAATAATACTAGCTGACCCAGCGAACTTCGTACCGCCCTAAAAAAATAGGGGTTGTCCAGCGGACAAAATTGTGAATCTAAACCATTCTCAGATCCCCTTGAACACACACAAAAAATTTCATCAAAATCGGTCCAGTCGTTTAAGAGAAGTTCAGTGACATACACACTCACAGAAGAATTATATATATAAAGATTAGCAGGATAAGGAAATTTAACAGAAAAATTGCAGTCAGTTAGGCTATTCTCGATAATATCCAATCTTTGTTATCAAAGTTTATTCGGGTACGTTTAAAACCATGTGTGAAAACGTAACTGAGTCTCTGAATAATAGGGTATTTGACAAGTTTTAGATAACAATCTCACGTTATTGACTAATGATTATGGAGTCCGTTAAAAGTGGATATTCATCATTCTGTTGTGTGTTTTAGTAAAAATAACCAAATCAAAAACTCCATTTTCAAGTTCCCGCGAAAACGCTTCTGTGTACAATATGGCGTCTTACCAGTGTGTGAAGTCACACGACTATTATTAAAACGTCAAACGATACAATGTAATATCACTTTAACCGGAAGTTTACTTGCGTGTGACGTAATTTTAGGCTCCACCAATCCCAAGCGTTTTGGGTCACGTGATAATAGATATGATTACTATTATCTTTTTCGTTAGTTTTTAGTAAAATTATGAATATTTTGTTTTGTAAAAATAGTAAAAACCCCTGCCAATATTCATTCTAAACACCGATGCTAACAATTGGCACTTTATTTTTAACACTGTCAAATACCTACCCTATTACAATAGAAAAACCTTTAGACCTTTCATTTACATCCATTTTTAATATCAAAAGTTATATTGGCTAAAGGTTTATGAAATACGGGTAGAGTTGTCAGCCTTTGGGGACTGAACCTAACCAAGTATGAATCAGTGTTAAATATACAGGGGCGTCCCACGGCTAGCTCACACTGAGAGAAAGTATATTAAAATTCGACGCGGCTAATAGGGCCGTGGTAGCATAATGGTCAGTGCATTCGCCCGGATTGCGAAGGATGCGGGTTCGAGTCCCGTCCGCTGCTTGGTCCGCGTGGATTTTTTTCTAGTAAACTTTTCTTTAGATTTAAACATCGAGCAGTTAAATGCTTAAAAATAAATAAAATCATAAGTATATTAAATATTGAAAATAGGTATTTTATTGAAAGAAGACATCATTTTATTTTTAATAATAACTAGAACTGTATTCACAGATTTCTTAAAAATTAGATAAACTAAAACTAAACTAGATAAACCGAATATGATACAGCTGGGAATCAAACTCGTGAAATTTCGAAAAAAAAAACACGATATATTTTATAATAATCATCGAAAGGGTTAATCATAAGGATTATTTTTTGCTACATAACATACTATTTTAAATGAAAGAAAAGTCATTAAATTTAACAGTTATTTAAAATTATTTATCACAAACTAATATAAAAACGAAACGGTGCAAGAAAAAAACATCAAATGTTCATAATGTGATCCGTTTTGTTATATGCAAATTCCCACTCTTTTAATAATTTTTCTGCCTGTCGATTTCATTATCTTTGCGTGGTGATTGTTTGTAATAATACGCCTGAGTTTGTGTTAAATGATTTTGAATAAAATAGAATATTTCATGACTTTTCTTTCATTTAAAATGCTATGTTATTTAGCAAAAATAAAATCCTCATGATTAACATAATTTTATGTCGTGTTTTTTTTTCGAAAGTTAACTAGTTGGATTCCCAGTTGTAGCAGGCAATTTATAAAAAAATATGTGAATGCAGTTCTAGTTATTGTTAAAAATAAAACGATGTCATCTTTCAGTAAAATATCCTATCTTCAATATTTAATATACTTTCCCTCCGTGTGAGGTAGCCGTGGGACGCCCTGTATATTCGAGACACATTATTTGATTGAACTTATCATCCATTTTAGCTTTCGCTCGTTGATCCAAGTTATGAATATGGAAGAATTATGAAAATTGACAAAATAAATGAAAATGCAACATATACATGCAAGGCCACCAACACGCTCGGTGAACATAGCACAGATGTGAAAATTGAGACTGGACAAAGAAAATATTTTGATATTATAGAGGAACCTAAAGGTACGCTTTAGTTGAAAATACGACTATTTAGCAAGCACAGCTTTCCCCTGTGTCAAAATCTTATGATTGGGCATTACATATGCATCAATCGGGCATATTTGATATATAAACAAATGTGCAACATTTGACGGTGTGTTGTGTCATTAAGTAAGCGTTTCGTGATTAATTTTATTTATCAGATGCAAAACTGCTTTGTGTGCATATTTTCTCTCCGCAAGAACGACCAGAATGATTTGAAAGTTAAGAAGTTATAGCTATGGCTACTTTCTTCCAGATCGTACCCGTTTTGTTTTATTTTATTTAATTCATCATCATCATCAGCCTATTAATGTCCCCACTGCTGGGGCACAGACCGTCCCTATGGATGGAATAGGGAGATTGGGCCATGACCCACCACGCGGGCCCAGTGCGGATGGGTGGGTGCTAACGACTGCAGATGCAGCCGGGACCAACGGCTTAACGTGCCTTCCGAAGCACGGAGGAGATCGAGATAGTAATTTTTGGTGGTGGTGGCTTTAGCGACCAACTTCATGTGCCGCGCTGCCATTACCGCGTCGCCCGCCGCACCGTACGCATGCGCGGCCACTCGCGGTCCTAGCGCGCGAAACACGTACAACAAACATCGGGAAAAGTTACGAGTTTTGAATTTAGAACAGAGACTGTGTTCATATCTATATATATAAAAATGAAACCCGTTTTCCGTTGTCACGACATAACATGAAAACATAGTTTTCTAATACTCTGTACAAGGTTCTTACGGAAAAAAATATAAAGAAAATCCCAAGGGGATAAAATAAGGAATGAAAGTTTGTATGAAACTTTATCAATTTTAAACCGATCGGGCTGAGACTTTGCATGCAGGTATAAGAAGAATCATAGATGAATGTCATTGTGTATAATACAAGCCTGAGAACAAAAACTGTAGTCTACACTTCAGCTCTACACCGAAGCGAAGCGAGGGCGGGCCGCTAGTTTATAATATTTATCCACATGTTTCTAGTTTGTATATTCGGAATACGTGTTTGAGTTTCATACAAGTGCAAATCACATATGTTCTAATAAATTATATTCAGTAGCGATTTTAGTTGAATATTTTGATTATTTATTTATTTTTTCAAATTAAAACTGAACTTTATTGACTGTGTCCTTTTCCAGACTTTTTATTAATTTATTGTAATTAATTATTTGCATGCAATTAAAAACTAATTTTAAACGATGCCAAAGAAGGATAACTTCTCACGCGCCTACATAAGTACACGCACCCATTTTTTAATTGGTTAGGTATATTTTTTTTAAAGCATAATAATAAGTTAGTATCTGTAATACTACGATAAGAACTTATAAATACTTATTACACAAGTACTTTTGAAAATTGATTCGCATTTCAGATACAAACATAACGTATAAAAAAAGTGGCCAGGTGTTCTGCAGGGTTTCTGCCAATCCACCTGCTGATATAATATGGTATGGAGGTAATGAAAAACTTAAAAACAATTCTCACATACGTATATCGAAAGACCAATCAGTATTAAATATAACGGATATGCAGCCAGAATTAGAAGAAAGATATTCATGTGTGGCAAAGAACAGCGATAAAATCATCACTTTTCGTTTTCACATTGGTACAATTGGGACTAGTAAGCATATTTTACAAGTCTATTGCAGTTATGTTTTATTTTTTAAGCATTTAATTGCTAGTTGTTTAAATCTTACAAAAGAAAAGATTACAAGAAAAAAAATCACGCGGACCAGGCAGCATTGTGGGTTACCTACAATGCGAAGAGATGACGCTACCTTGCAGCCTAAGGCTTATGAATATTCGATATGGCCGCCGGGGCTGCGGTAGCATAATGGTCAGTGCATTCGCCCGGATAGCCAAGAGTGCGGGTCCGCGTGGAATTTTTTCGAGTAATCTTTTCTTAAGTCTATTACATATTTTATAAGCATCTGCAGAACTCTTAAAGCAGGTTGTAATGTACAAATTAGAGAATACCATTGATTAGAGGGTTAATAAGAAAGAGTTAGTAAATATATGGTACCATTTATTATTTTCAGCAAAGCCTGTAATTCAAGAGATTCCTGAAGAATCTTTGACTGCCGTTGAAGGAACTAAAGTCAACATGACTTGTAGGTAAGACTGATAAAATTCATATCTCTTATGAAACCAATAAGCAGTGATGCCAATGCTACGGCAATTTCAATGATCACGGCTTTTTGATGGAATAAATAGACAATATTCTACGGTTTCTAGCAAACAATGATTTTGTCACATTATCGCACTCACCTTGTCAACAAAATCTTACCGTGCTTGTATGATATTGTCATATCAATTTTAACTTACTGAACAAAATTAATTATAAGCTGGCAAAAATGAAATGAAAAGAAACTTTATTCAATTGAACTTATTAACACAACGGCCAACCTGAGATTTATCTCCTATATGGTACGGCTTATTTGTCAACTTTAAACGGCTGACTGATTTTTTTTTGTTGGCCACACTGCCAGTAAGAGAATGAAGGTTTGATGCAAAACAAAGGAACCAAATACCTAGAATATGGGATAGGTGCCTAAAATGTTAATAAATGGTAATTTATATTCAGAGAGAGTTTTTGTTAATTATATTTAGCCGTATTTTTTTATAGGGAATTAATATTATTTCTGCCAAAGATAAGATTTACTTTAATGAAAATTTAATTCCGAGAAAATGATACCACCCCACCTGATGTTCAATGGCGGTGAATTCAAGAACATAATTTATCAGCCAATTAATTTCCTCGCTGATAGGGTACAGGCCTTCCCTGTTGGATGAAATTATTCTAGATTAGGCATTAGCCCAGTACCAAAAAACTTGAGATAAAAAAATAATAGGCATCCATCCTATAACCTTGTCCCAGTCATTTCAAAAGTTGCTTATCTTCCACGATTGAAGACCAAATGCACCAAACAATGCGCTATGGAGCTCCATAGATCCAATAATAAAGACTTTATTACATACCAGTAAGAGCGTTGTCCGTAGTACAAATTCATCCCAAATGATGACGCTAACTGTAGGAGAATTACTATTTCCAGATTGATCGGCGGTGATCCAGCACCAGCGATAACTTGGAGCTTTAGAGCAAATGGCGAAAATAAGACAACTGTATTCAAAGAAAATGTAGAAGAAATCACTATCGACAATGTTACACGAAATAAATCTGGTGTCTACTTTTGCCTTGCTAAAAATGCGGCCGGCAAAGATTCCATCGCTTTCGATTTGGAGGTAGAATGTAAGGGACTATTTTATAAACACCTACTTCTTCTAATTATTCAACCTTTATCTACCCATTGCTGGGTGTCCTCTGTGGTGCGACAATTTGTTCATAGTTGTGCGATCTGGATTCAATTCCTGCCTGCTGCTTTGGTCATGTCATCAGACCACCTGGTGTGCTCCCTACGTTTCTGCGTCCTGGAGGTTTACTCTCTTTCTCCGAAACGAAATTTCGGTAACGAACGAATTTTAAATTATTGACCCTATTTCATTTTCGTACAGGCACATAAACTTCGAAACCACAATCAGTTTTCGTGAACGAATGGAATGAGTCATGTTTGTGAGTTCTTTTTGTCTCTACTTTTAAAATTAAGTTTTTTTACTTGGAAACAATATAGGTAGTTTACGATAATTTTTTTGATGACATTGAAAGAACCTTTTTTGACAGTGTTAGCCGACTAATTTGTAGAGTTGATACAAATTATTGTATGTCAACCTTAATTTGTCGTTTAATACTTTGGAATATCGTAATTACAATAAATAATAATAAAGAATGTTTTATTTGATAATTTTACATGCTAAAAATGTTTCTCGAGCTAAGAAGCCTTGATTAAAAATGCTCTTGCAAGCATTTTAGGCTTAATTAAAACAAAAATCTCAAACGAAAATGAAAAGGTAACACTTATTATTTCGTCAATTTGAGGTTAAAATTTCGAACAATAATCTCCTCTCCTTCGAAAGTTTTGTGAACTAGAGTAGGTTAGGAGAATTTAATTGTCAAACTATTTTCGGACGAACGAATTTTCGGAATGAAATAGAAACAGAGTAAGGGACGTGCGTTATTTCGATCGAAATTTCGTTTTTCGTTGAAATAGAGTAGACCTACTGTTCTAGATCGTCACTTCACAATATCTCGACTCCACCTGTCGTCTATTCCGTGAGCCACGTGACCTGCCCATCTAAACTTCTTCCGTGCGAGTTCGCGAGTAATGTCAGTCCAATCAAAGTACAATATAAAGAAACTTAACTAGACATTGCAGTCGAATCTGGCACGATTCTCTAAATCTAAACTTAAATTTGACAACATTATATCCTTGTCATTCTCTATACAGAATGAAAAGGAGAGACTAATGTTAAATTTAGTTTTAAGTTTATAGAATCACGCCAGAATCGACGCCATTAATTTTAACTTGGTCATGGTGTAAGGCATGACAAGATTTATAGATCAAGTAGTTCAAAACTTTAATTAAAAACATAATAAACAAAGAAACAAGTTTTATACTGAATTTCGACAAACAATATTTCGACTAGACGCTATTTCATACATTTATTCGACAGCGTCCTCCTCGGATAATTCACGCAAGAAGTTAGTGTCTAATAATGGTGGATTATTAACCACTAAGTGTTCGGGAACATGTACAAGTGTTGGCAAGTGAAACAAAATAGCAGAAAGTGTCTTTCGACGTTCCCTCAAGAAGTCCACGGGGAGGTTCCAGTAAATCCCCATACTTTTACTGAAACATAGGGAAAGGGGGATTGACTCTGACTGCCATTTACTTTGACTTGACTTATTACTTTGACCACGAGTGCTATAGTATTTGTATACATTTTAACACTTGACATTGGCTAAATGAACAAACCGTGCGAAGCATTTTTTTTAAAAAAACTCAAGCATAATGATAATGCTGTTGCCAATGTCATAATGACAGGCCACTGACAGACACTGTCATTATAAGTTGTCATGTGACGTTATTTATGTGAAGATTAAAAAAAAGGATAGATAGATATTAAATTGACGAAAGAAATTGGTTACATCACCTTTTCCGTCGAATGTGGTCCTGGTCTCCATCTTTATAAAACTACTTCTTTCTTGATTTAAAATTATTTTTCACTCGCGGTACTTGAAGCTAACGCGGCGCGTCCACCATATAGAGTTCTACCCAGAAGGGATAGAACCTGGGGGCGTAGACGATAATTGAAAAATACTGATAGAGATAAATTATTTATTTCTTTTTATCATTCAGGCTAATATAAAAGCATTTTATCTAAATACGAGAGGAAGTTCTTGGTGCCTGAAGATCTAATCTTGAATGGAACCTTCTATCAAAAGACAGACGATTCCTCATTTCAAATCTTAAAATCATGACATTATCTTTTTAATATAACTGCCAACCGTAGACATTGCAAAAGCAAAGAGTTTACCTAAACAAGGAGGCTGTAACGTTTCGGACGTCACAGTACCTAATTGGTGTTATGTTTCAAAAAACCTAACCTACCTATTAACGTTACAAACATTAGTTATTTGAGCAAAATAAACAGTTCTCCAATAAAACCTTCAACTCATGATTAGTTGAATCGATTGTTTCGAATTTAATAACAAACCACGTTCCTTTATATGCTTAACGCTACGTTCCTTTACACGTTACATAATCAATAATCAAAATCATTTATTTAGTTTAAATATTAATGGTTCAACTGCATTTTGTTTGCTGTGTCATACAGTATAAATACAAGTAGCGTTATTTTTATTAGGTGTAACTAGACATTTACATCTTAAATATCAAAGTAGTTAGGGCACACTCATCTCCGCTGGCAGTACCCGTTCACGAGCATGACGCATGAACCAGCCATCCAACCATCGCTTCGCTCAACCATATTTTAGGGAACGTAACGACCCGCCTTACACGACACCACCGAAGAGACTTTTAAGAGAGCATGACTACCTATAACCATCTATATTAACCACAACATATTCACTTAAAATTAAAATAATTTATCTGGGATAAAAGGATATATACTATTATTTGAGTTCCACCACTAGCTTATTAATACTTTTGGCATAATATGAAAAAAATATGTTTGTACAGTATGGCTATGCTCGGCGTTTCTCTGAAGGAACGCATCAGAAATGAGGTAATCCGACAGAAAACCAGAGTTATCGACATAGCCCACTGGATTAGCAAGTTGAAGTGGCAGTGGGCTGGCTATATTTGCCGAAGAACCGATAACCGTTGGGGTAGACGAGTTCTGGAGTGGAGACCGCGTCTAGGCAAACGCAGTGTAGGACGTCCTCAGGCACGATGGAGTGACGATTTGCGCAAGGTGGCTGGCAGGATCTGGATGCGAGTAGCCCAAGATCGATCTGAGTGGCGTGCATTTGGAGATGCCTATGTCCAGCAGTGGACTAAGATAGGCTGTTGATGATGTTTTACAAGATCAGTACCAAAATGGTTGTTTACCTTTTACAGATCCACCGACAATACGAAGAAAAAACAAGAAAAATATCACGATTCGCGAAGGTGATAAAAATTATATCCTGTATTGCGATACAAGTGGTAATCCACAGCCTGAGGTGGAATGGCTTCTGAACAATGCACCCGTTGACACCACCAAAACTCAGATCTTCAAAGACCACAGCATTTCGTGAGTGTTTTATCTATATCTATATATATAAAACTCAAAGGTGACTGACTGACATAGTGATCTATCAACGCACAGCCCAAACCACTGGACGGATCGGGCTGAAATTTATCATGCAGGTAGATGTTATGACGTAGGTATCCGCTAAGAAAGGATTTTGATCAATTCTATCCCCAAGGGGATGAAATAGGGAATGAAAGTTTGTATGAAACTTTGTCAATTTTAAACCGATCGGCCTGATACTTTGCATGCAGGTATAAAAAGAATCATAGATGAATGTCATTGTGTATAATACAAGCCTGAGAACAAAAACTGTAGTCTACACTTCAGCGCTACACCGAAGCGAAGCGAGGGCGGGCCGCTAGTATTAATATAAATGGATTGCTTACATGAATATTGCATAATGGTTCCAAAGCATTTAATTTTGCAGTCTTCGTAAAGGACTTCCGCTATGTTATCCTTGCGGTCTATTCCGTTCTGTTAAAATATTACTACGATTTAATTTACATTAAAAACATTTTACCATATATATGTATTATAATAAAAAAATGGATGCGTGTACTTAAGTACGCGCGTGAGAAGTTATACTTCTTTGGCATGATTAAAAATTAGATTTTAATTACATGCAAATAATTAATTACAATAAATTTAAGGGCTGGAAAAGGGTAGTCACCACAGTCAATAAAGTTCAGATTTAATTTGAAAAATTAAATAAATAATCAATTTAAATCACTATTGAATATAATTTATTAGCACATATATGATTCGCAATTGTATGAAACTAATGGTAGCCATACACACTACGAGAAATCGTTACGATTAGACTGTACCGTCCGAACGGTACCGATAAATCGTAGCGTGTATGTTATAAAACTGCACAGTTTTCTATACGTACGCCACATACGATAAACTATTCCGTTCGAACTGTACAGTCTGATCGTAACGATTTCTCGTAGTGTGTATGGCTACCATAAAACACTTGTTGTGAAAATAGAAACTAGAAACATGTGGATAAATATTATAAATAATATGAAAACAGTGTTCAGAGGCGACAAGCGTGCCAACATGCGCGACTAATAGAGATTCTATTTTCTATTTTGTTGGTAGCTTTTTTTTCGAGATTTAATATGCGGTATAGCGGCCAATTTCATGGTGTCACTTTTGTGTTACAGTGATCGCGCATCTTTAAATTTCACTCTCATAATTTTTTCATAACGCACCTAAATAAGTATAACTTCAATAAATAATAAAAGTTCCGCAGTGTTTGTTTTTTCAATGGGATTGTATCACTATTTTACATTGGCATTAGGAATTAATGCATTACTATATATATCTGATAGGTACACTCGCGGAAAGACCCGCTCTGTCACCCATAACGCCATAATCGCGTGCGGTAGCGGCGTAGTAAAAATTTATTCATAGACATGTAATTATCGCTGTCTTACTTTCTCGTATAGCGCTGTCGCGATCACGATGCGGATGACAAATTACAACTCAAACAATTGCAATTCAATTCATTATTCAATCAATGAAATGCTCTCTGTCTTACTTTTGTGCGGTGGTCCAGATTGGCACGTCCGACGCGAAGGCGGGGCGTAGTAAAAACTACTGTAGAAAACCGTTCAAAGCATTTTGTTCGCCAAGTGACAGAGCGCAAAATTCCGCGATAGTACATACTCTATAACATTTTAATTTGTTTTTTACAGAATCCAGCCGTCACCCATAAATGATGGTGAATTTACATGCATAGCGAAAAATAAGCATGGTGAAGCTAACATAAAAATAAACGTCAGATATTTTGGTAATTAAAGTCCACTTGCACGAATGTTCTTAATTTAAAGGAGATTGCTCAGCTTCCATACATGTTTGGCCTAAAGACCAATAATCATGAAAAATTGTTTCCTAGATTCTAAATTAAATATAAATTACTGTAGAAACGAATATTATTGACGGACACCCCTGAAAACTTCTATTAACCATATATACTATGAATGATTTTGCAAATAGGTACATAGGTATTAAAATAATAAAAAACAAATAAGTTATATAGCAAACTAGGGAAATCAAACCAAGTACCGAAATTATGTATTAGATTCAGGTATATCAAGCATCTCTTATCTATTAGACAAGTCCGTCCGTCCGTCCGTCCGTCCGTCCGTCCGTCCGTCCGTCCATGGTGCTGTTTCAGCGGCAAAACCGTAAGAGTATAAAGAGAATGTTTAAGTTATAAGTTGAGAATAGTCTGATAAGACTACAAACCGGATGTGAGTAACGTAGCACTTCCGGTTTTCGAGAAATCACGTGATTTCTATTTCAAACGAAACCACACAAAATCTCCGAAGTTCTCAATTAATTAAATACATTTTTTTTGTGAACATTTGGTTCTCTGGTTTGCTAGTGTAGATTAATAGATAGTTGCCTGTTTTTAAAGTTAATGTATAAGAGTAACTTTTAAAATCAGGTATCATCTATACATTTGCGGTTATAATAGGTACTCTGTGACAGAAACTGTGTGTTATTTGTGAACGAGCCACAGATTAGAGAGATTTTTTAAACTCTCGTAAACGAAAGAAAGCTTGTTATTTTTCTTGTTTATATTATAACCATATTTTAGATTTTTAGTGTATCACACCTTATAATGTGTTTATGGAGGTGTTTGGCGAAAAATGTATGGCAATAGATTTTATGATGTCGCCTACCATCTATAATATTTGTCTTAACACATTTGCATGTAGTAAAAATGATAATATAGTTGTGGGTATTAATATCGCAGTGTAATAAAAAAAAGTTTATTTTATCGATCTTTACAAAATAGATTTGTTTTGATGATATATACAACTTCGATCAGTCTTTGACTGAATGTTACTACACCCATAGCCATTAAAAATGATTCGTATGTTTTCCAAACCGGTAAAATTAAAAGTCCTTTTTAAAATGAATATATTATTCAAAGGTGTCCGTTAAAATCTAATGACTGTAAAATAAATTATAAATTACGCCAAGAATATGTCAATATTTTTTGTGATTTGGGCCAATTTGAGCAATCTCCTTTAAAAAAGCTAATTTTGTTATCCAGATAGACTGGCCGACCCATGAAATCAGTTACAGATACTTTTAGAAACTTATATCGATATACTGTTCATTGTAGTAAAAAGCACAGTAGTGAATTAATTTATTTCTAATACGGTTTTGCAAATGAAAAAGCATGAACTGTACACTTAGCACGAACCAATATCGAATTCGAATAGTTTGCGAGACCGTAAATTGTCAAATTTTGTATAGAAACTTGAACAGCAGCACAACAACGTACGTAACGAGAACTAAAAATCAGTACACATTTGCCAATGACATTTCGTACTCGCAAACGATACGATATAATAATAAAATATAATAAATAATAAATTTTCGAAGAATCAGCGGGTAATGGTAATCCTTAGTCGCTTACCATCAGGCGGACCGTGTTTGTTATTCCTTATGTTATATGAAAAAAATCTAAAACTATAGTTACGATGACAAAAAAAGATTTTAAAAACTTAGTCCTAGAATCTTTAAAAATCCAATACTTTTTTTGGCAAAACTGTACTTCCAGGGCCCAAAAGGTATACTTGAGTTTTTTTGTAGAAAAAGTCTTTTTTAACAGATTTTTTTTCTGGCGCTTCGCCGGCCGCTGTTGCGGCACGCTCGCTTTGCTCGCTCGGCTCGCGCGTTATGGTCTCAACACTAATCTAACTTAACCTAGTGTGAAGTATCACCACTTGAGCCCTGGAAGCTTAGCCCTTTTTTTTGCCAATATAAACATCTGATCAAAATTATTAATGAAAAATAATATTATTTAGTCTATCACATTTGGTAGGTCGTAATGATTTTGTTCCTTTTAGCTCCCCCGGTTATATCTCCTCCTCCTCAGTCTAAGATAGAACTGCTTGAAGGAAAGTCGATCGAGCTGCCGTGTGAAGCTGATGGGTACCCACACCCTAAGATTCGGTGGACCTTCCTTGGCTTCAACTCGACGTCTCGACCCCTGTTACTGAAGTAGGTACATTAGCAAATTATGCTTCAATAAAAATATTAAGGTAGATTTTTATAGCATAAGAGGACATTTCGTTAGTTATAATAAGCATCAGTACCCCTAGCACAAACCATTATCGAATTCGAATAGTTCGCAAACCGAAATGTCAATGTCAAATTTTGTATGAAAACTTGAACAGTAGCGCCACAAAGTACGTAACGAGAACTGAAAATCAGTACACATTTGACAATGACATTTCGGACTCGCAGACGTTACGAATTCGATTTTGGTTCATGCTAAGGGTATTGTTTGAGCTCGATGGTCATTATCTGATTTTTACTGGGTAGGCCTGCTTATTTAATAGAACCTTTGGGGCTGGATTACACGGATTAGTAGGAATCTACAGGTACCTTGTTCGCGCTACTCCCGGTGGTCCAGGGAGGTGTTTTTTTATTGAGTGGGTATGCTGTTGGTGGCAGATGACCTTTACAGCGTCACCGGGTTTGGGGATGGCGGGATCCTAAGGGGACCTCAAGCCGAGAATTGGCCAGTGCCTCTGGAGGCATTCCAGGCGGATGGCGTCTCCCCACGGGGGGAGTCTCCTCTCCGTCTGGAGCCTCCAGACCACTCGAACCTGAGGGGGTCGGCTCAACTAGAGGGCGTCTCTGAGACTCGGACCTCGGCCCTAATTAGCCGTTGTCATGGGGGGAGGGACGCGTAATGCCTTATCCAGATATATAAAAAGGCTTGCGATCGCGAAAGCTAGGCAACTTTCTCAATGACCGGTCATTAGATCTGTGACCAAAAGCTTATTATCTCGAGGATCGGAAGTCACGCCTGTGCCGACTGCATTTGCTGTCGTTAGCACCCACCACTCCGCACTGGGATCGTGTGCTGTATTATAGCTCAACCTCCCTATTCCAGCCATAGAGAAGGCCTATGCCCTAGCAGTGGGGACATTTAAAGAATCATGATGATGATGATATTGAGATATTTATAGTTTCAGATAACAATTGGTTAGTTATATTAGTATCAGCTTAATGCTTAGAATACTAATAAAAACTTTATTCGTACTTCGCCATTCAATAGGGATGATGACAATTTTTTTTTTCTTCGTTTATCACGTAGATTATCAAAAAGTATTGGACACGTTTCTTTTTTCACATAATATAAACATTGCAGTGATATATTGATTTGAAAAATCGCATGACGTCACGTTTTGGTACAATTTTCACTTAAAAGTGACGTCGCGAGCCCCTGATCCCAAACTTTGACGTGCTATAACTTTGACAGTTTTTGTTGATTGCCCAAAGAAAAAATACGTGTCCATTATTTTTTGATCATCTAACTGACGGATTAAATAGAATTTCGTTAACTGTACCCCGTCATCACCCCTATTGTTAGATTTAAGAGAGTTAGGGCATTGGGGATTTTTCGCTCGAATTAGAGCACCCTGGAGAAGTAACCTCCACATTTTAAAAGATACACAGTAAAATAACACTACGTTTAGAAGATGTTGTATTTCTGTCAGTGAGTAAAGATCCAGGGTTCCACGGGGTTAGGAACAGGGTTATGATTTTTATTTTTGCCAATATAGTACTTTAAATGACGAACTCCTTCCGAGTGGTTTGTACGCCGGGTTTTATTGTGTCGCCGACTCGAGAGGTCCCGGGTTCGAATCCCGGTAGGGGCAGATGTTTGTGTGATGAATACGAGCATTTGTACTCCAGTCATGGACGAGCAGCTCGATGGCGTAGGTGGTTAGCGCGTTCGGCTGCGATCGTTGTAGTTAAGCAACTTTAGCAGTGGTCGGTCATTGGATGGGTGACCAAAAATTTCTATCTCGAGTTCCTCCGTGCTTCGGAAGGCACGTTAAGCTGTTGATCCCGGTTGCATCTGCAGTCGTTAGCACCCGCCAATCCGCACTGGGCCCGCGTGGTGGGTCATGGCCCAATCTCCCTATTCCATCCATAGGGAAGGCCTAAGAATTTTTTTTTCAAGCAAAGATGCTGTCAAATAAAATTAAGACCAAACAAAAAAATTATCCTTTTCAGATATGCCATGTCACCTGACACTCTTAAAATCGCCTCAGTAGAACTCGAGAGATCTGGTTACTACATATGCAATGCAGAATGCGGTATATTTTCTTCAAACATGTCTTATGAGGTCATCGTTTATGGTACTTATATTTTTTTTTATACATCTCAATAGGATCTACGAATTGTGTCAAATAGGTTTTGGCATTAATTATACTGCCATGACGTTTTATATTATTTTTAAGTACTAATACTTATCTATTTTAATTCATTATCATGATAAGTAATTTAATTCTCAAGAATAAAATTTGCTTCTATATAGAATTATCAAAATACCATAACGAAGTCTGAGTTGTATTTCTTTTTATTTTTAACTTTTTTAAGTACCTATATGTGTTTATAATATTTCCTTAGCCGTTAGGTAGTATAAAAAAACCGGCCAAGAGCGTGTCGTGCCACGCGCAGTGTAGGGTTCCGTAGTTGCCTGTAGTTACCACAATATATTTGAGCAGGAGTCTTTATTTTCTACTAGCGGCCCGCCCTCGCTTCGCTTCGATGTAGAGCTGAAGTGTAGACTACATTTTTTTTCTCAGACTTGTATTATACACAATGACATTCATCTATGATTCTTCTTATACCTGCATGCAAAGTCTCAGCCCGATCGGTTTAAAATTGACAAAGTTCCATACAAACTTTCATTCCCTATTTTATCCCCTTAGGGGTAGAAATGATCAAAATCCTTTTTAGCGGATGCCTACGTCATAACATTTACCGGCATGCCAAATTTCAGCCCAATCCGTCCAGTGGTTTGGGCTGTGCGTTGATAGATCACTATGTTAGTCAGTCACCTTTGAGTTTTATATATATATAGATATCGAAAATTAGAGTCAATATCAATCTGTGTATCTTTACTAAAATACCTAAATCAAAGTCAAACTGCGGCTCAAAGTCAAAATCAATTCGATATTATTATTATTTTAAATACGAATGATAACTGCCGATTTTTTTTTGTTTCCACCCAGGCGGGGTGTGAAATCCTCAGGGATACCCTACAGCCGGCTGCAAGGTTATGTCCGACTCTTACTGACTAAAACACACCCGTAGTTCAAGCCTATGGCCAGAAGGGCCTTACAAGTTTCATCTGTAGGGATCATCCACTGAGAAGGGGATGATTCGGTATAACCGCCGATCTTTTCAATTGCTTATTTATTTACTTTTTATAAAAACGTAACGTAAGCGCGACTCAGCAGCCGTTGCCGTTGGTACTCGCGGTAGCGTAGTGGGACTAATGATATTTTATTGTAGTTTTTAAATAGTTTTTTTTTTTAGATTTTGTTGCAATGCAAGGTTTTACGCTACAATACGACCTCCGTGGCCGAGTGGTTTGTACGCCGGGTTTCATGGTGTCGCTGACTCGAGAAGTCCCTGGTTCGAATCCCGGTGGGGGCAGATGTTTGTGTGATGAATACGAGCATTTGTACTGCAGTCATGGATGTTTAATATGTAATTCTATATAAATATACTTATATATGTACAGTATATGTATTTTATCCGTTACCCTAGTATCCCACAACACAAGCCTTATAGTGCTTAATTTGGGGCCAGGCTAATTGGTGTGAGTGTTGTCAATATTTATTTATTTATTTATTTATTTAATAACTTCACCTATATCAATCACTATTAATTTTTTTTTTCTAAGGAATTTTCAATAGGTAAGAATTTTTTTTTAGCCAAATTAGAAACTTACAATAATATCTGAACCGTTATAGTTTTCCGTAAAGTTCATGAAAAGCACTGTTATCATAAATGTTTTTTCCAGGTTTTTCAAACTAATAGTTTAGCTTTTAGAGGGTTCAATATTTCGCAAATGGATCCCTAAATCGAAAAATAGTCTTAAAAACCCCCGAAGTAATTTTAAAGGATCTATTTAACGATATCACGTGCGATGGGGTAGATCAATGGTTCCCAACCAGTGGTCCGTGGACCACCAGTGGTCCGTAGAAGCCAAAATATGGTCCGCGAATGAATTTGAATTTAGCGGGCGTGCCATAAATGATGATGATTATTGTTCATTCATTATTTTTTTAATTAAATTTCATATTAGATTTTTAATTAAAGTTTTAGTTTGATTATTACAGTTTATTTTTATTACACTAAAGGTAGCCATACACACTACGAGAAATCGTTACGATCAGACTGTACGCAGTAGTTTATCGGACGTGGCATACGTATAGAAAACTGTGCAGTTTTATAACATACATGCTACGATTTATCGGTACCGTTCGAAATGTACAGTCTGATCGTAACGATTTCTCGTAGTGTGTATGGCTGGTATAAAATTTAGTTGTTTAGAGACTAAATAATGGTCCGTGCCAAAAAAAAAATGTAAAAATGGTCCCTGACCAATAAAACGTTGGAAACCCCTGGGGTAGATGATGAAAAAATTCATCCCCAGGTTACAAGGAGAGATAGCTACTCTAAAAATTTTTTTTCAAAATTTGTTTTTACCATTTTGTCGGCGTGTTATCGATATACATATTTCCATTAAATTACGGACATGATGAAACTATAAGGGTTCCTTGTCAGGACTACGGAACCCTAAAATATGCATACTGTGCTTGCATCTAGTATGTTGCAGAGTAGTTGATGTTTTCTTTGTATGCCTATACTTACATGGATAGTCTTTGTAACCAGTTTTGTGATCCAAATAAAATAAATAAACAAAAATACGAAAGATAACTTAATATATATTCGTAAAAAGCAGCCGCTACTTTATTAGTTTTTCAAAATCCCACATTTAATATATCATTTTTGTGGGATGACAAGCTTCCCATGTCTTAATCCAGTCATAAACTATATATGTACTAAATTTCATCCGAATTCAATCAGAGTAGTTCGCGTGATTGAGTCACAAACATACAAACTTACACATTAATAATATTAGTAGGGTAGATATTAATAATATAGAAAATAAAAAGATACGATTAAATAATTTCATTGGCCACGATTACATGTTTACAAGGTTTAACGTTATTTAAGCGTTATGGAGGAGCTCGATGGCGCAAGTGGTTAGCGCGTTCGGCTGCGATCGTTGAACTTAAGCAACTTTCGCAGTGGTCGGTCATTGGATGGGTGACCAAAAAAAATTAATATCTCGAGCTCCTCCGTGCTTCGGAAGGCACGTTAAGCCGTTGGTCCCGGCTGCATCTGCAGTCGTTAGCACCCACCATTCCGCACTGGGCCCGGGTCACCACCCGCCATGACCCACCGGTCATGGCCCTATCTCCCTATTCCATCCATAGGGAAGGCCTGTGCCCCAGCAGTGGGGGCATTAATAGGCTGATGATGATGATGATGAACGTTATTTCAGCACCTCCAAGAATTACAAATTCAGATAGTACATTAGTAGCTGTAGAACGAAGTTTAAGGACATCAACAATTTCATCAAATACATTGATAGCAGTTAAAGGAGATTTCGTTTTGAGGATACCGTGCAAAGCGACAGGTTTTCCTGTACCCGAAATGAAATGGACCAGAAATGGGTATCTTCTTCCATCAGGTAAGAAAACATTGACTTATTTGTACGTTATGATATCATATATATAAACAATAAAAAAACAATAGGTAATAAAATAAACGTCAGTAATGTCAAATAATATTTAATCACAATAACAATTATGTGGATTATCAAAAAATGATTCATTACTTTATCTGAAAATAACATGTAAATCTAAGAATGTGCTGCATTATCTAATTCACTGTCGGAATATTCCTGGACTGACTAGAAATTTTTGTCTTTAATTTTTTCATTACCTATTTTGTTTAATGGCAAGTTTGTTTCCCCTTGATTTTCATAAATACATTGTTACTTGTCAATTTACTAAAATATTCTTGTGTCGAGTTTTCGAATACAAGGCCACTCAGAAAGTTTTGCGAAAAAAGTTTTTATATATAAGGCACTGGGCTATTTTGAAAACTTTGATTATTTAAAAGTAAAACTACCACTGTTCGATTTTCAAATTTTCCTACGCATTTTTTCGAGAGCCTATTAATTTTTTCTTGTCTCATTAAAAAATGGATCTGCAGCGAAAACATTTTCTTGCTATGATTTTTTACTATTTTAAATGTGGCTTAAAACCTGATGAGTCATTTGATCGATTTTGAACTGCTTTTATGGATGAAGGACCTTCAAAACCAAACCATCTACCGCTGGTGTAGCGAGTTCAAACGCGGTCGTCTTACTTTGGGGTATGAACATAGGAGTGGTCGTCCTACGACGGCTGTCACCGAAGAAAGTGTGCTGGCAGTAAAAAAACGTTACATTACGTACGAAGAGATTCAGCATACTCTGCAGATTGGTTCAGGAAGTGTTCACAAGATTTTGCACGAACACCTTTGCGTAAGGAGGATAGTTTCCCGCTGGGTGCCACACAACCTCACCGAAGCTCAGAAGCAGTCCCGTGTGGATGGTGCAGTGATATGATACAAAAATTTGATGCAGACTCGTCACGATGCATTTAGGATATTGTGACAGGTAACAAATCCTAGATTTATCAATGCGATCCAGAAATAAAGCGTCAGTTGACAGTTTGGCTGTTTCAAGATGAACCAACGCCTACAAAAGTGAAGAGATCGAGGAGCGCAGGGAAAATTTTGATCACTAGTTTCTTCACTTTGATGGGGTACCTAATTTCAATTCCACTTCGAGACCAAAGCAGCATCAACGCTGAATGGAATAGCACAAAATGACTGCCAGAAGTTTTTTCTGCAATGAGCAACAAGCGACCTAACACCGGGTTCTGCAGGGTTCTTCTTCACCATGACAACGCAACCGCGCACAAGGACGAAGGACTTCCTGGACTCCACACCAGTCAGTCTTGGGACACCCTTCCTACAGTCCTAATTTGGCTCCGTGTGACTTCTTTTTATTCCCTAAAATAAAAAATCAGCTCAAAGGGATACAGTTTTCATCGCCGGAAGAAGCGCTAGCAGCGTTTGAGAAGGCCTTGGAAGAGGTGTCTGCGGAGGACTGGAAAAAATGTTTTGAAAATTGGGTCAGACGCATGAAACTTTGTATGAAGCTGGTGGAGAGTTCTTTGAAAAGATTAAATAAAAATATTTTTTTCATATAAGTTAGTTTTATAGTTTCTCAAAACTTTCTGAGTGTCTCGCGTATTAAAGTATACCCTGTGCATTCAGATAAATCATGTATCATACACCAAAATTAAGACAGTTGTTCTCTTTGCAACTAAATCTCTGCCCCGAGAAAGATGAAAATGAAGTTATTAGAAACGTAAAGATCAGGAAAAAAAACAATCAGAATGCGATAGCCTAATAGAAATACAGGATACATTAATGCAATCGTTTAAAATATCCTGAATGGTGAAGAGGCCGAAAGTGGCCTATCGATGAATTACAAAACCCACATTCAAATTTAATACTCCAAAACCTCTTTCTGCTTTTGAAAAAGACACAAAACCTATTTATTTTCGTTTGTTTATAATAAAGTCGTTGCTACACACACGCATACGAACACGCACACACAAAATAATATAAATACAGGTTGGTCCAACTAGTGACGTCAACAAATTTTTTTTAGATTCCTCGCACCTGGGGGTATCCGAAAACACCCCATGTATGTTCCGCGATTTTTCTTAGTTTTCGAGTTATAATTTTTTTGTGTATTTTTAATAATTTCTGCCAGGGAGTTTTCAAAAAACCATATCTTATTTCGTAGTAGGTATTTTGTAGTCTTTTTTTTGTGACACAATTGTCTTGAACGATGTTTTAATTAAAAAAAAAATAACTAAAATTACTTAAAGTTACTCAAAAAAGGCTTGAAAGTTGGAACTTTAGTTTTAAGTAGAATTTACTCAAATATTCAACTTAAATTTAAAAAAACCCAAAAGGAAAGAATTTAAAAATCCTATGAAAAAAGATATGAACTTTTGAAACCTCGCTGGTAGAAATCATTAAAAATATACAAAAAAAAATATAACTCGAAAACTAAGAAAAATCGGGGAACATACATGGGGTATTTTCAGATACCCCAAGGTGCGAGGAATCTAAAAAAAAATTGTTGACGTCACTAGTTGGACCAGCCTGTATATATACATATAAACTCACGTTCACTAAATGTTCTCTTGTATTTTTGTCAAATGCTTTTCTTTTTTTTTTGTATTCTCTTTTATTCATTTTTTGATAATTCAGAACAACAATATTATCATTATGTGCAAATCTCATACTCTAGCTAGTCCCTGAGATACAGGATTGCCTAGTTTTAGAAGTTATGTTAGTAGTTTTTTTAGAAAATACTCCCCTATTTTGTAAATCGTACATGTTGTGTTATTTTTTGGTAAGAGTTATTATTATTTTATAAAGCTCCCAGGCAAAAGTTTAGTATCTGTAACAATTTTAATATAAATTTCAATTAGATAATTTGTCTTTTACTCCCTCGCAGGTATATTATAAAGCACTATGTATCCCTCGAAAGAAAGTGTTATTCCCAACTTGGATGTATTGAGGCCTGAGGCGCAGCCAAATGCCAAATTCACTTTCTTAGGTCACTCTCCTCTCTGTGAACAATGTATCTATTTTGATTCACCACTGTTCATTTCAACAATGATAAATTGATTAATATATGACTGATATGAAAATCCACTGACTGACTGACTCAAATCCACACTGGACCCGCATGACCTTCCTATATCATCCATAGAAAGTATTGAAGCAACTAAGTATTGGGGAAGAATGGGCTGATAATGAGGAGCCCAATGGTGCAGGTGGTTAGTGTATTCAGCCAACGATCGTGAAAGTGAAGCAACTTTCTCAATGGTCGGTCATTGGATGGGTGACCAAAAACTTACTATCTCGAACTCCTCCAAGCTTCGAAAGGCGTTAGTCTCGGCTGCATTAAAATTTGCAGTCGTTAGCACCCACCAATCCGCACTGGGCCCCCCTGGTGGGTTACGGCCCAGTCTCCCAATTCCATCTATAGGGAAGGCCTGTGCCCCTACAGTGAGGGCATTAATAGGCTAGGATGATGATTTATGAATAATGAAAGCTTTAGCTTTTTATGAGGTAATTCATTTTGTAGGCACAAAATGGTATGACATAGCTGATGACGGCGCTCTCTTGCTGAAGAATGTTGACGAAGGAGGCACGTACAACTGTATAGCGGTCAATGGATTTGGTTGGGACGAAACTGCATTCGAGGTTATTGTTCAAGGTATGATCGATCTAAATAAAACATATCGCTTAAGAGTTTTATTTATTTATGAAGGATTACCAGTGAATGATTACAAAGAATAATTAACATCTAAAACAATTTCACAAAACAAGAAAAAGTGTACATTCTATACATACCTTTTATTTTTGGTAAAAAAATGCATGTTTTTATATCATTGTTTTTATGTAGCCATTAATACCAACATTGTGAACATTGTGATTATGGTGAGTAATAAAGGTTATTAATAATATTATTTAAGGCGACCACAACATGCAATATATGAGTAGACATGATTTTTGAAAAATTACATTATGCATCTTAATATAATTATTAAAAACATAGTAAAAATTAAATTTAAATTGAATTTACACAAATAAACTGAACATAGGAATACAAAACATTGATTAAATTAATTTGAAATCCATTAAATTGATTAAATTAAATTTTAAACATTTATTGAATTAAATTGAAATACATTATTACATATTGAATTGAGTTCAATTTTTCTAAGGTACCACTACTTAGCTCAATACGAGTAAAAGCTTATTTAAGCTTCGAATTCACTAGGGTTAAAATACTTCTACACGTAAACACGATAAAACCTAATTAAAAAATAATATATGATAATAATAATATTTATTGCCTTTTCATGTAGGTGTACAGAGGTGTTACAAAGCGTTCATTGTTATGTGACATGCAATAAATGAATAAATAAATAAATAGATCGTTACACAAACCCGGTTAGGGCATAGCAATGTGCTTTAAAGAGAAAGAGAATTATTTTTATTGACCACATAAATAAATTTACAAAACAACATACAAAAAAATAAGAGATATACATAACGGAGTAAAGAAAAAAAATAGTACCATTTGTGGTCAATCAGGACCCTGCCTCAGCGTAATGCTGCCGCAACACGCTACAAAACGTGTCACAGCAGCGCTGGTATTCTGGCAGGGCCTGTTATGCCGGAACTCGACATGGCCAATCGCATCCGCCTCGATATCCCTTCCCTTCCTCTCACTGCCCGTTGTGGATACACATCTACCAAATAGCAAACGCGATTAGCCACATGACGTGCCGGCACAAGGTGCGAAAGATTACACTTTCTGTAATCTGCGCTCCGTGATCTGTGGCTGTCACATGTTAATGTTACTGTCGTCACACATACCGCACAAAAACAGTGAAATTGAGTGTACAAACTCAGTAATTGCTCAGCAACTTGAATGGAAAAGGGAAGCAGCTATATAATCCCGTCAGAAACGTGCACCCAAATTACACGATTACCACGAAGAACCCCCGCGGGACTCTTTTTATAAAGGGCTTCTTTAATTTTTTATAAATAAACTAGCGGCCCACCCTCGCTTCGCTTGGGTGTGAGCTATTCGAATTTTTCTCACCTTTCAAACCTTCCCTAGAGCTCCACGAACATTTCAAGACCAAGTTGAAATAAATCCGTTCAGCCGTTCTCGAGTTGTAGCGAGACTAACAAACAGCAATTGATTTTTATATAAAAACATATAGATATAAATTTAAATCAAAATAAAAATAAAACTTGCTTATCAATAAAATTAATAAAATTCCATGTCATAAAAATTGCACTGAATAAATATTATATTAATAAATAAATTATATCACATTAAATAGGGATGATGCCTAATTTTTTTTCTTCGTTTGTCAGGTAGATTATCAAAAAGTATTGGACACGTATTTTTTCTTTTTTCACATAATATAAACATTGCAGAGATATATTGATTTAAAAGTCGCATGACGTCACGTTTTGGTACAATTTTCACTTAAAAGTAGAGATGGGCAGTGGGAAAAAACCCAATGGGAAAAAACCGGGTATTTATGTGGGAAAAAACCCAATAGACGGGTATTTTCATTATTTAACATAATTATCACGATCTTAAAAAAAATATATTTTTAGAACAAATGTAGCGAAAAATAGGTACTTTACAGTGGCGAAGCCTCCTTAGAACGCGATTCCTGCCGGCTTACCTTGCCAGACTCTAATATTTTTACATTCAAGAACAAGCAAACATTGACGTATACGTTAATGCAAGCGACATAATTACATCGCGCGCTTTGTAAAAATAATCTTTAATATGTTGGATACAAAATACGCAATCATTTGATATCGCGCATACGCACACAGATCCGCGCCGTAGTAGACTGGATATGCCGCTTATCTTATTGGGACTTCAAATAAATAAAGCAATAAATAAGCAATAGGGAAGATGCAATATTTTTATTTTGTTTTCATTTTAAAGAATTCCATGTAGAATAAACCACAGATATATTAAAAAATTAAAACATTGTAATTTATCGGAAAAAATGCAGTTTTAAATTGACAGTTTAAATTTTCGCGCGAAAACGGACCTATGGTTCCGATGACGTCACTCCTGTCTGACACTGGTCGTACTTGTTCGTCGCTGGGATACTTTTGCATATTTTTACGACTTTCGAGATATATTTTTGTAAAAATTTGAAAAGGACTATCCATCAACATCAGGTGATCATAACACTACCACAAATATTACGAAAAAAGCCGTGTTGACTCATGTTTTGTGCCAATGTGCCCATCTACTTCAACAAAGTTTCCAAATAAAATGTTTTTGACTTTTGATGGAATTAATTTAATTGACTCATAACTGAGAAAAAAGTGGTTTCAAGCTGCGATTAGAAATGAAAATTATTCTCCAAAGACCATTATTCGATGCTGTGAAGATCACTTTGACGTAATTCGGCGAATATACTTGTTATATGCTTAATTAATCTCCTTGTACGTAAAAACGCGTTAGTAACCTACCTAATACTTATAAAACCTGTCTATAACATATTTTTAATTTTACAGTTGCAGAATGGCGTCGAAAATTGTATGAAGTTTAAAATGTGTGGCACAATCTCCACATTGGCAGGACTGAACCAAGCTTTGCGTTTTATTTAAAATAACTGTAACACGATAACCTTCTTTACGTATTAAATGCTTCGGAGTAACTCGACTTTTTACTGTACATAATTCTCCATCTCTTGTAATTTCGACATAGCCGATTGCGTTTACGCCGTAAGATTCTCTTTTTGAGCTGATATTACTGCTTTGTGTAGAAGCCGCTGAATAAAATACAAACTGTAACAGCTATGATTTATACATACCGTAGTAATTTAGTCCCTTTTATTTCTACACTTGAAAACTCTGCACTTTGGACAAAAAAGTTACAACCATGTCAACACTAACTCTTGGTAAATTCCTGGAGTCCGCTTTGATAAACCCAACTTCCATTTTTATTAAAAAACGCAATTAATATTCCCCTAAGATAATATTCACTTTTACAACCATAGCCTCAAATAAGTTGTCATAACAGGAGTGACGTCACTAAACGCTGATTGGTGTTTTAAAATACGTTTTTTTCAAGTCATTTTTAATTCGTAATTATTGTTAAAAAACAACATTATGTAAAATAAAAACGGTGCAGTGGCCTTTCTTTTATAATTTTTTAAGAGTTTAATCATAAAATTTTCATAAATATTACATTTGCATCTTCCCTATTCACCCACAAATACATATTACTACCACATGCAACCAATCGTCGATATAACAGCGATATAACCCGATCGTAGATAGCCTGCAATCTTTATTTGTCATGGGTTAAGGCTCCGTTTAGCTTGAAGTTTTCGGCCAATTGCAGACACCTGGCGCTCGGCTCTGTTGACCTGACGTAGTGAGGCCATTATTTCGCGCGCATTCGCATGGACGGATTCGAATGCTAATTTATCTATTGTGATAAGTGATTAGCTTGATTGTGGTATATATGTAGTTTAACAGAATCGAAAGTAGTGAAATTTTACTTACCAAATGTTGCGTATAGTGTTTGTTATATTTCACCGTATAGGTTTGTTTGCTTTTTTTTGTTTCTTGCCGTCACGTAGGAGTGGTGGCATTAGTACAAATAGCTTGTTGTCTCACAGATTTCCTATTAAATGAGTTAACTTCATTCCCAAAACATTCGTTCGAAAATAAAACGTGGCCATGGCCTTCGGCTCTGTCTACCCCGTAAATCCCTTACTGACGTCATACTATGTACCTACGTAGAATAGAAATAAATTAGCGGTATTTCTGCTGGTTTTTATTTGTGATGATGATGCTGGCAAGTTTCCCTTATTTTGGTTCTTTGTTTTTCTATATATTTATTTATAATCTGTGTATGAGTGACGTGTGCTTTATACGGTTTTTTGAACGCCACTTTTATCATAATCAACATGGACTGTTCATATAATACCAGTGATGTCATGTATGGTGAAGGTGGTGAACACTAACAACTATACAGCAAGCATGTTCTGTCGCATGAAAAAACTGCATACAACGCAACGCAAGCACCATACCTAACATTTCGTTGTAGTTTTGGGAAAGGTGTACTAACACACTATTATAAGGTAAGTAATTTATTGCATGTATTTTTTTAAGTTAAGATATGATATTTTGCTTAGTTACGCGTTAGTCGTTTTTTTTTTGATCCGGCTTTACCTTTCTTTTTTTTCACCCCACGCCACTGGTACTTTGCGATGCGCACATACTTTGCGACAGCGTTTATAGGACACTAGCTGTTGTTTGTTGTTCGAAACGTCAAAACTTGTAGCCTGATTCAGGAACTAAAATAAAACCAGCAGTTTAATTTATCAACAAAAAGACGTCTTCAGAAGTCTACAAAACAAAATCCCAGTCGTCAATTAAACCAACATATTAACACAAGTGCGCACAGTATGAAGCCAAAATAACGTGTAAGATAGATAGATCACCAACGCGTACGCCACTGCTAGTACCTGCCCCCCCCCCCTCCCCCTACCCGAGCACGTAGTTTCGAATTACTTATCGCTAAGAGCGGATGAACACACAAACAGACAGGTTTATTTTATTTTATTTAATTAGATAGCATGGAGTATAATTATATAACGTTTTTATTGAATTATGAAAATAAAAAAAGTTACATTAGCTCTAACTAGTTGTAATAGTACTTACCATTTGATAAATACATGTATCTCCACATTACCTCGATGCTACATATGCTAAATATGAAAAAACCCGAATATTTTCCCATTTGGGAATTTTCCCTGGGTTTTTTCCCTATTTTTTCCCACATTGGGTTTTTTCCGGGTAAAATCCCATCTCTACTTAAAAGTGACGTCACGAGCCCCTACTCCCAAACTTTGACGCGCTATGAATTCGTCAGTCTTTCGTTGATTGCCCAAAGAAAAAATACGTGTCCATTATTTTTTGATCATCTAACTGACGGACTAAATAGAATTTCGTTTACCGTCATCACCCGTATTATTAACAAACGTCATAATTTAAACTCCTTCTCATTAAAATACTCTTTCAGTGTATAGTTGTAGAACAAAGGTGCTTTTTCAATTGGTTTATAAATCCAGTCAGACAACTCTCATTTTTCAAAGACAAGATAGTACAAGTAGCCCTTATAAAGACGACTTATGTCTATTAAGTATACTCTGAATGAGGTTTTCCACAAATTGTTTATCTTTTCAGACTCACCGACGCCCGAAACGCCATCGCGCGAGATTATTTTGATAACCGGTGACTCAGTTCCCATCACATGCGACTTGCCACACACACCTGTAGATCAACTTAGGTGGTTCAAGGTGAAATTTTATTTATTATATTTTTATTTTATTTATTTAGATTTAAACAATTAGCATTTAACTGCTAATTGTTTAAATCTAAAGAAAATTTTATTAGAAGGTATTCCACGCGGTCAAGCAGCAGACGGGACTCGAACCCCCACCGACTCATCCGCTATCCGGGCGGATGCACTAACCAATTATGCTACCGCAACTTTAATGGCCGTGTCAAATTTCTTCTAGTATTTCTTAGGCTGTAAGGCAGCGCCATCTCTTCGCATTGTAGGTAACCCACAATATCAAACGTAATACGTTTACATATATTTTAAAATTTGAAAGAAAAAATAGAATAAATAAAACAAAAATAAATTATACAGACTGTCACCATGGTATGCCCCAATTGTAGTTAGAGTCTGTGCGGAAAGAGAATGGGATTTAGATTGGAGGGCGCTGTAGTGCTTTTCGACCGTATTTGAAAGGTTTTACCCGTTTTAGACATGATTAAATACAAAAAACCGCAAGAAATCATAACAACAAACAAAATCCGTATCAATACAAAACTTTGACATTTTACAGATTGCTGGCTTTGATTGCCAAATAAAAATCTTAATGTTATCAGTTCAATCATGATAAGAAATACGGTTCATCCTCAGTATAAGAGGAAATTAATTCAAAAGGATTTATTACAATTGATTGCGTATATTTTTCTAAAACGTGCAGACAAACAAGTGCACAGACCTACGGACAGCAGTACTAATAACTTTTTAATTACATGTTTTTGATATATATTCTAAATAAATAAATGAAAAAATACGCTGACTTTATAACTTAATATGTCTAGTTATGTTTTTATTTATTTTTAAGCATTTAACTGCTAGATCTAAAGTTTAAATCTAAAGAAAAGTTTTACTGGAAAAAAATCCACGCGGACCAGGCAGCGGACGGGAAAATATTTGATATGTCTAGTTTTCAAAACACCCCTTTTTTATTGATTTAGTGTTTAACTTGGGAGCGGCCTATCGGGAGTAAAGCACTTCCACACGCTTACGAGGCATGCAAAATTCGGAAAATTTAAAAATCTGAAAAAAGTCCGCACTGTAGACTTAAAGTCCGGACATGTCCGAGCTAATCCGGACGGATGGTAACCCTAACCAAGTGGATTCAGCCTGACTTGGAGCTCTATTTTTGAATCACTCGTCTTGCGTCGAACGCTCGATTTTACTAAATTTTATTCGACATAATTAATTCCGTATTTTTGAATCGCTCGAGTGCAACGATTTGGGTGAGACCACTCGCTGCATGGCGAATGGTGGAGGCGAATGATAGAATAATTGTCAAATTTTTTGTGCTATTGGACGACGATAATCTATTATTGTCATGCTTTGTATGAAACGACAACGAGAATTTTTGTTCGGTTTTCATTGCGGTAATTACCGGTTTTTATTTTTTCTGAACTGATTAAAATTTTATATTTCGTATTAAACAGGTAACACCGGTGACGAATGATTCAAAAATACGGAAAATCAGTATTATGCGACTGTAAAAGTCGAAAGTGACTTATGTCGCATTCGACGATACTATGTCAGACGAGTGATTCAAAAATAGAGTTCCTGGTCAGTGTGCTCCTTCCATTTGTTATGGGTTTTATCCTGTTCTGATTTTTTTGGTATTTATAAATTATTATCGATCCTGGTTTGAAAGGAAATTGGAATAATTTATATATCATACATTTACATTATTTTCTATGTTACAGAATGGTCACTTTTTAGTGAGTGGAGAGCTCACCCTTTATAGTGTCAACTGGTCACACGGTGGTTACTACACGTGCCGAGTCTGTACTTTATCCGGCTCACAGTCTAGCACCATCAATATTGTAGTCATTTAATTATTATTAAGCGATAACTGTGATTTCCATAGCATTATTGCCATTTTATTAATTATTAACCTAATTAAGTTTGAGTGTAGAATTGTGGAAAATAAAATATTAAACGCTTACAATTATTAAAGAAGTAAGAAAATAAATTTATTTTACGCCTGCATAATTCCTTTTAATGAGACTGTCCTGAAAATGTACCCATTTATAATTGAAAGTCGAACGAACAGTCCTGTAACTTTCGACATATATTAAACTTCTGTGACTAGCACGCATTATGTGCTGAGACCGTACACAATAGGCTAGTTGACCCTTTTTGGAAAAAGGTTTTAAATGTTTAATAAATGTTCTATTAGACCGAAAAAAAATGTATTGTATTTTTTTGAGACCTAGAAAGCTACAAATCTTTAATTTTAAAATAAAGTTTTCATGGACATACAAAAACGCTGTCGGCCATTTTAGTCTATAGATTATTATCTATGCTATTACGTCGACGGTAGTAAACAAAAACTCGTAAGCACGTAGAAAATAACCTATCTGAGTTTATAATAAAAAAAAACATGATTTCTAATACATACCACGAAAAATATAGTAATTATCATTATTGTATTGTACGAAAATGTAAAAACAAATCTTTGGAGACTCCAGGAAAGTTGTGGATTAAAGTGCCGAAAGAAATTAACCTACGCAATACCTGGTTAGAACTTGCTAAAAGTGATCCTGCAACTTTATCGACTCATAGTAAAATTTATTTTTGCGAAGATCACTTTGATGTAAGTACTCATTGAATAATATGTTAAGTCTCTTCATTTATTATCGGTTTTAATAATACACGTTTTAAAGTTATTTATGAATGACATTTAGTTGTTTACTACTAAAGAGACGTCACAATCATGGAGGATGTGGCGAACAGCATTTTTAGTGTTTAAAAAGTATAGTAGATTGATTCACCAACATACAGTTTGGCTAAACACTTAGCAAAGTTACTTTCACCACTGAGAGGTAACACAACAGCCTTTGTGAAAGATTCATACCAATTTGTCAATGAGATTAGAGATCATCGTCTCATGGACAATGAAATCATGGTCAGTTTTGATGTTCAGTCCTTATTTACATGCCTACCAGTACAGGACTGCATTGAAATCACTAAGAAGAAGCTACTTGAAAATAATATGCCTAAAGAATATGCAGTATTACTGGAGCATTGCCTTACTTCTGGCTACCTGTTATGGGGGGATGACTTCTATGTACAAATGGAGGGTGTCGCAATGGGTTCCCCTGTCTCACCTGTTGTCGCCGATATTTTCATGGAAGACTTCGAGAAGAGGGCTCTCAGCGCAGCACCTGTCACACCCAGGCTATATAAGCGGTATGTAGATGATACTTTCACAATCCTCCCAACAGATCAAATTTCTGCCTTTTTAAATCACCTTAACTCTATACATCCCAACATCCTATTCACTATGGAGTTAGAGGCAGATAGTAAACTAGCTTTTCTAGATATTTTATTAATCAGGAATCCTGACCAAAGTTTAAGCCCTACTGTGTATCGTAAAGTGACTCATACTGATAGGTACCTCAATGGTGACTCACACCATCACCCGAAACAATTAACTGCCGTAGTGAAACTCTTTGTTTCAGAGAGCACGGGGTGTCTGTGACGAACAACACCTGGCAGCTGAACTTCAGCATGTCGAGCAAGTAGCTACTGAAGGATAATAACCTGAATGTACCACGTCGCCGTCACAGTCGCGCCAAACCTAGCACAGTCGACCGACAACCTGCTATACTACCTTACATGAAAGGAGTCACTGACAAGATTGGGAGGATTCTGAAGCGTGCTTCAATCAATACATACTTCAAGCCGCCAAAGAAGATCAACCAGTTTCTACGACCGGTCAAGTGCAATATACCCTTTCAAGTTGCTGGTGTCTACAAACTTGAATGCGACTGTGGGCTCTCCTACATCGGGCAAACAAAGAGGAGTATAGGGACTCGGGTAAAAGAACATATCGCAGATATGAAACATAGGCGCGAAAATAAATCTGCAGTGTGTGAACATGCATTAAGGGGACCAAACCACTACATTAGATTTGATAGATCACAGATCCTTGCAACTGAGCGGCGGTTCGTTCCTCGAATGATGCGCGAGGCTATTGAGATTAAAAAATATCCAAATTTCAATAGGGAAGATGGTTGGTATATACCACCAGGGGGCCAATCGCCTAACGGAAATGCTTTGGGAAACGCTAACGCTTACGATTTTATATTGTTATTTCTAGCCACCTGAGGTTTTCGAATACCTCGCGCTCATTTTTTTTAATATTGTTATTACCAAAGCAAAAGAAAAAGAAAGAGCGCGAGGCATTTGAATACCTTAGGCGGCTAGAAATAACAAAATAAAATCGTAAGCGTTAGCGTTTTCCAAAGCATTTCCGTTAGGCGATTAGCCCCCAGCTTGGGAACCTATTATACAGGAGATAAAATCCCAACCCCGAGTACACACTGCAAGACCATCAGATACTATTAGTTCTTTTTGTTTGCATAATTTAACATAAGAAGGAGATAGAAAGCCTCTCTTGAGTTTGTTTCGCCGGTTCTTCTCAGGAAGGTCTCCCAATTTTGGAACCGGTGGTAGTTTACGGTAGTTAGGGTCAAATAAATAAACTCAAAACTACAAACGAGAATTTTAAATAAAATACTTTACTAAGCAAATTAAATAATAAATTCATACATAGACAATAACATTTTAAAAATCTTCCAATGAAATAACCGAACGCTCAATATAAGTCTTTCGAAGGTAGCTCGACAATTTTAAATAAAAAATCATTATTCTGACGATGCAGACCTGAAAAGGCTTCGAAACGTCAATAAATAAAGTTTCGTGCATTAACCCGTAAAACTAGTTTTATTTAAAAAGTATAGACTAAGAATTATTTTTTTAAATTAAATTTCTACAGCAATCTTCTGCTTTTATGAACTAAAGTCGATATATTTAGGTTCCTTAGACCAAATACTTCAAGAAATAAACATTTATTTAATATAATTCGACATGAGTCAACTAGCCTATTTTAGAGCAACATTAACCTTTGCAAAAAAAATTTAAAATATGCGCTCGCACTGTGGGTATCTCGATATATTCATACATGTTTGTACTAAAGCGGTCCAATGGTTCTTACTATTTCGTGTGACTATAGGTCAGATCCAGATATTTTTAAAGAATCCAGATAGCTGATCAGGGACAGGGAGGACATCGTTTATTATCAGTCGAACGTCATTTACAGGTAAGTTCGTTTGACTTTCAATTAAACTTCTGTGGTTCGCCCTTAGAGATTAGACTTTTTTCATTTGTATAACAGTAACACTTGACTTAAGAATAAAATAAATACTATTATTTAGCTCGGTGTTTTACCTACGCGATAGAATCAGAAATTAGGAAATCCGTAGGAGAACTAAAGTAAGTGTCGCCGCACACGGGCCACCGACCACAACCACAAAACGCCGCCAACGGCATATTTCTTGTAGTTTTCATACATTTTATATGAACTCTCCACACACGGTACGCCGCCGGTGGCCGCCACACGCTACAAATTGTCGTTGCTCGCTTCTTGTGGCCCGCACCGGCGACTTAATGCGCCGATACAAAACGGCGCAACACGTCACTCGCGCGATTCCCCACCCCTCTCTCCCTTACCTTAGTCGGCCGCTGTCGCGCGCTTCAGCCACTTTAGTAGCCGCTTCTAGCTTCTCGTGGCGGCGTTTGTGGCTTTGGCGTGTGGCCCGTGTGCGGCGACACTAACCGATATCGCTCGAACGCTTGCTCTGCTGAAGTGGCAGCGGGCGGGACACGTAGCAAGAAGAACCGATGGCCGTTGTCGCGGAAAGGTTCTGGAATGGCGACCACGCATCGGATGACGCTCAGTGGGCAGGCCCTCTACAAGGTGGACCGACGATCTTGTGAAGGTCGCGGGAAACCGATGGATACTACTAGGCGCTGGCTGAAAATCAGCGCTGCTGTGGTATTGCGAAAGTACTACCACAGTAGCATAGCTGAGACAGCGACCTGTTGGCCCTGCACAGCAGCACCTGAATTTAGTTTTCTTGTTTTTATTTGTGTTGTTATTCTTTTTTTTATTTTTATATTTTCTGTTTTGTTTTAATGTACCTACATAATGCTGTGTAACCAATAAATGATTTTCTTTCTTTCTTTCTTTCTTTCTATACGAGTGGCGTAGGACCGATCTGTATGGAGATCCTTGGGGGAGGCCTATGCTCAGCAGTGGGCGTCGTACGGCTGACACGTTGATGTTGTTATTAAGCTCTAGATAGCTAATTCAAAATCTATTTAAATATGACAAGATCGAAATCAGTCTGTAAAGAGAGCAAGCATAAAAGTCTGAGTTATTTTTGGATACATCTCTATTGTATAATGTTGTACTTGTCCAATTATCAGTTTTATTCTTAAGCTCTATATTAACTTCTGGCTTGTTAGCATCTAAAGTAGCAGCATGTATCCTGCTGTGAGAACGTGATGATGTCTATTCCGCTTTCTGGTTGAGTGGCAAAGATACAGTAACTCCCAGTGTCGGTGCACACGAGCCACATGCCACAGCCACAAACGCCGCCACGAGAAGCTAGAAGCGGCGTACAGCGGCCGACTAAGGTAAGGGAGAGAGGGGCGGGGAATCGCGCGAGTGACGTGTGGCGGCGTTTTGTATCGGCGCATTAAGTGGCCGGTGCGGTCCACAAGAAGCGAGCAACGACGATTTGTAGCGAGTGGCGGCCACCGGCGCACAGTGGGTGAAAAAAAGAGGTCCCCTTTCATAGGATTTTTGAAAAAATAAAAATGTATATTAACCGTTTAAGGTATGCGGTTTTATTGGACATATCAGTACATTGAATAATAAAATAGTTTGGGGAATTTCTTTTTAATCTAACACCATAAAGCACGGGCTTTAGAGTTTCAAATGTATGAAAACGGAATTTGTTTTGCTCATAACTTGTCTCGGTCTTCTACGGTCAAGCTGAAACTAATAGGGATTATTACCGGGTCTGTTACGAAGCCATGTGACCTTTGACCTTCACCCCGGACGGCCCCGTTCAAAAGATACGAATTTTTCAAAATGCTTATTAGGGTAATTTTGCTTTACGAGGTTATGTGTCTCAATAAACAGTTTGTTTATGTTTCTTGCCCAGCATTTAGTTATTAATACAGCGCAGATTATTATCTAATAAAACTATACATATATATATAGATAACGACACCATACAACTTAACTTTAAATAAAAGCGTCCTTATTCAAAAGATATGGAATTAATATAAATAGATAAAAGAAATAGTTTTAAGAAAAAGAAAACAAGAATACAATATTGTAAAGAATTACAATGAAGTCGTTTACAGCCTACAATTTAATCTTTTGTTTGACAATCGCTTAAAAGCCGCGCGCCATTAACGAGAGCATCATTACATATAAACAATACAAACTCTATTGTTGCAGGTTTTGAGGAATTCAAAGGGTTACCCACAGTCATTACCTGCCGTTGTTTGCCTATAATAATTACTGATTATTTGCTTTTATTGTGGGTATGTGAATAAACAATACGTTGTTATTATTATTATTCAACAATGACTTCGATTATAATAAATACGGAGTACACCTGTATTTCATTTCACTTATCATTATTGATTCGTACCGTAACGTTCTCTTTGCTCAAATTTTAAGTTGCTCAGAATGGAAGGGCTTGTGTCTAATCTCGACGTATATATATATATGAGGCAAAAATCTTTTAGTGCCGACATGTTATTTCAAAAAGTACTCGATCCAGTGAGATTTTCATTATCTGAAGAACAAAAGACAACTCTTAAAACGTTTTGTGCTACATATACGAGTAATCTTAAACGCAAATGGAAGTCAGCTAATTACACACAAGGGAATTTTATAAAGAAGTTTGCTGACTGGTTGGACCAAGAAATAAAATGGCCAGAGTTTGTTTCACTAGACATAACTGAAGAACAATCAAATATTATGACGAGTTTTGAAGATCCTTCAACAAGTATTTCAACAGTAACAAGACCTAGTTTATCAACGGAATGCACTGTTCCTCATAGTGTGGCTGTGTCGACCAGGGATGTTGCAGATGCCGATATTTTCACATCCGCGGATACGGATGCGGATGCGGAGTTTAGCAGGCTCACATCCGCGGATGCAGATGCGGATGCGGATGTATAAGATATTATGGTTATATATATTTGGTTCTAAATAATCCTATACATTACTTTTGGTCGGTGGTGACATTGTTGACTAAATAGTTAGATAAACTATCAATAACGGGAATCACACTGGTAAAATAACGAATTTCGTCATAAAACGATAATTTTTCCTACAATAAAACGTATTACCGGCGTAATATAATAGAATTTACCTTGTGATCTTATGGATATTAGTTTTAAATAATATAAAGTTTTCTTGTAAACTCTTCTTATTTACACACTGTATCACAACAACATTAAAAATACCTATCTATCTTTATGATACGATAAGTAGTTCACTTTCACATCACAGCGCAAACAAACACGTAATATTTATTCACTTGCAAGAAACAATTGATGCACTAGCTAGAACAAACAAACGTGTCGAACCTTGTCACCAATTTCTTCGCTCCCATTGGTTATTGTCACGTGCGACCGGCACGAGTCAATCACCGGCCCCGCCCAATTTCTTTCTTGTCGCTACTTGTATAATATTCGCATCCGCATGAACATTCGCATTGATTAATGCGGATGCGGAAGCAGATGCAGATGTCCAAATCAATGCGGATGTTCCGCATTTGCGGATGCAGATGCGAATGTTCGCAACATCCCTGGTGTCGACATCAACCGCTACATTTAGTCCTCGAAAAGAATTTGCCAATTTGAGTCCACTGCAAAAAAGAAGAAGAACTGAAAATCTCATTGCCGAAAACGATTTTGAGACACTTGCTTATGCCCTGGCTAGGAAAGCGGAAAATGAAAACCAAACGGACTTTGTAGAATTAGTGAAGCATTTGATTAAAAAGCCTGAAGATGCGCCAATGCTGCGAGCCTGCCTGAAATCGACGAAACGAACTTGTCATACCGATAAGGCACTCGGTATTTCAACATCACTGAAATTATCGAAATGGCAGTATATTACATTGAGGCAGACAATGAGAGACATGGGGTGTGATATACTTCCATCGTATGATGCTTTGAAGCAAGAGAAGAAGGAGTGCTACGTTGAAAAAGAAGACATGGTAATAACTGAGACTGAAGTTAAACTTAAACTTCAGTCTATTTTAGATATTACGGTCAAGAGACTTTTTTTTTTTTTTAACGCAGGTAAAAAATCTTTTTACAGACGACGGCGCCTTTAAGAGGCACACCGCCGAACGGACCTCACACCTGGCTCCCGCAAGTCTTACGGACCCCCCAGTGGCTACCCACCGAGGACCCCGCAACTCTTACGGGCGCTTTACAGCATAATATCCGCTAAAAAAGTCCTGCGAATACCTCTACACTGCTTAGTGCGGAGCCGCAGGGTCCCCGTTAGGGATTCTACCACGGCTCCGCTCCCAGCAGCTTCCCGGCCTCGCCAGGGCTCCACGGCAGGGGTCTCCCACGGTATTACGGGGACCCCGCAGACGTGCGCAGGTAGGCCCGCGCGTGGGGGCTGGATACGCGGCCTACTGCCCACCATACCGCCCCCCATCCGCTGCGGAGGGGACTCCTGGGCGTATCCGTCCAAGAACCCTCCGCACGGTCAAGAGACTATTAAAAACTCTGGAAACTGATTTAACTGGCAGTAATTCGACTCTTATCAGTAAATGGGGGTTTGACGGTGCATCTGGGCAAAGCAACTACCAACAAAAAATTGACGGCGATGATTCAAGCATCTTCATGTGTTCATTTGTGCCGTTAAAACTGGTGAGAGATGGTACTGATGAAATAATATGGGAAAACCCCAAAGCGTCTTCAACGTTTTACTGTCGACCCATTTTTTTTAAGTTTGCTAAAGAGAACGATTTGAATGTTAAAGAAGAAATGACTTCAATTGATACGGAAATTGCTGCTCTACATACAACTGTTATCGATGGTGCAAATGTAAAACACGTTCTGCATATGACGATGATTGATGGTAAAATAACTTCACATTTATCAGATACATCCACAGCTACATGCGATATATGCAAAGCAAAACCAAAAGAAATGAATGATATCGACAAGGTTACTCAGAGAACCCAGTCTGTAGACATGTTTAAGTTCGGTCTGTCTTCCCTCCATGCACGAATTAGATGCATGGAATGTATCTTACATATTGCTTACCGTCTCGACTTCAACAAATGGCAAGCTAAGGGCGAAGATTTGAAGCAACAGTTAAGCCAAAGAAAAAAGGCTATTCAAGAACAATTCCGGACTGAAACGGGGCTACTTGTGGACGTTGTTAAACAAGGGGCTGGTACAAGCAACGATGGAAACACAGCAAGAAGATTTTTTGTTAATCCTCAAATTACTGCTCAAATAACGGGTGTTGATGAAGAACTCGTTAGAAGATTTGGAGTGATTCTTCAGGCTATCTCATGTGGAGAGTTTGTGGACGTGGAAAAATTCCGCCAATATTGTGCTGCTACAGCACGCAAATATGTCGAGCTCTATGAATGGTATTATATGCCCTCAAGCGTGCATAAATTACTCATTCATGGTGCCGATATAATAGAGCACAATAACTTTATACCAATCGGCAAGCTCTCTGAAGAGGCCTCTGAAGCTCGTAACAAAGATTTTAAAATCTTCAGAACCTTCCACTCGCGTAAATCTAGCAGGATTGCAACAAATGAAGATATTATCAATAATTTGTTAATATCGTCTGACCCATACCTATCAAGTTTCAGGCCTAAAATATGTCAACGAAATAAACCTCTCACAAATGAAGCTAAATCATTATTATTAACTTCTTGTGAAGATAAGGAAAATATAGAGTTTGTAGATGTAGGTAATGTATCTGATTATGACTTTGATTAGTATGTGTTCTTTCCCTCAAATCAAATTATATCAAACTTTGTATTTTTATTTTTTTGTATCTTTGTATCATATTAATATAAACAGTTTACATATTTAAGAACTGTTGTAGCCAATTTGAGTTCTACTAATCTTTTATACTTTAGCTTGTGTGTGTAGTAATTTATACGGTTGTGGCTTCCTTATTATGCATTATTTAATTTATGATATCAAGCTTAGTTAGTAATTTAAGTTTTGTAAATAAAAATATTGATGTTAATAATTTTGTTTTATTCATAATGTAAATAGTTTATTTTCTCGTTTGGCAGTAACATATCAGAATCTCCCTTACTACATTTACTAATATTAATAACCAGCTAGTTTATCTGGAAAAACACTTTGTTCATTTTAAGCTTAGTCAGTTAAAGTTCTAGGTATCCCAAAATAAACATATTTGATCAAACCCTTTCTTAGATAGACATTGTAAGTGTAAGTATGTTTGTTTGACAAAATTAATTATTATAGGCAAACAACGGCAGGTAATGACTGTGGGTAACCCTTTGAATTCCTCAAAACCTGCAACAATAGAGTTTGTATTGTTTATATGTAATGATGCTCTCGTTAATGGC